AGGGAGCGGGGTTCGCAAAGCGGAGTGGGGAGAAGGGTCTTCTTGATCTGCCGAAAGGGGGGGTTTGGTTGCAAGAAGGACCCGGCGTCCAGCCCCGCTTAGGAGCGAAAGGAGGAAGGGAAACCCAGGAGACGCAGAAACGTGTTTGGGGAAGCGAGAAATGAAGTGGGCTGTGGCAGACGGAAGCCAACCCCTTCCCCCCCCGCCTGGGTGAGCAAAGCGGCCCGGGAGGGAAACACCTGCCCCAAGCAAACCAAGTGTTGGGAGACCCCCGCTGCCTGCAGCTGGGTTTTGCTGCACTGGCCCCAGGGTCCTTGGACACCTCCTCGTCTTTAGCTTTTAGCTCTTCTGTAGGGAGGTTGAGGCAGCTTCAGTGACACATTGCAGGAAGGAGTTTGAAAAGCCAGGCCAAAATGGTAAAGCCACACTAATTGCAACGCTTGAACCGCAGCAGGGAGGAAATGTAAATGTAGGTTTCTGATTCAGGGGGCCGAAACCAAAGAATTGGCTTCAGGTGTTGCAATCAGCCTACCGCCCACCAGTGCTTGCAAAATGCCCGCGGTGGAGGCTAGCTGCTGCAGTCTCAGAGTGCGCCTAGCACAGACATGTTGCAACACCGGCTCCCTTAGCATAGGAGCTGTCGGAGCAGGTGCTAGAGTTGCCAAAGTGGGGTTGTATGTGCAGAGCAAACATGCACTCATTGCTAATCTCACTGCAAACAGTTAAATGGACAGGCTGAGTTCAATGCCCAACAGGACAAATGATGGAAAGTTTAAAAAAAAAAAAAGGCTTGTTATCAAAATGCAAGATTTTTTTAAAATATCTTTCCACTTTCTGAACAGCGCTGTAATTTGGTTCTCACAATGTCTCAGTTTTAAACATTTGTTGTCCTATTGCTGTATCTCTCTGGCCTAAATCCTATTTGCATTGCTTGTTTGGGATGTCTTGCTGAACTCAGTTGGCTTGATACTGACTCCTTCCAAACACTCACAGGCAGATCCCCTGAGTAAGGTGAGCATAATGTGATCTGCTAGGTCACTGATACTCAGCGAGGATGCTGCAGCATGCTAGGGTGCCTCGAGATCCCTTCAAGGGTGCTGCGAGGTGCCACACACTTTAGTACAAACAAGAGTCACAGTATGAATTAAGAGATTTCAACTAAAAATCTATCATTATGGTCTTTCTGTATTCTCTGCAACAGAAAATCTGCTCTCCTTTTCCGTAGGCAAAAAAAAAAGTGCAAACTAAGAGCGGGCATTTTCCAAGGGTGCTTCAAGTCTGTCCAGGGGTGCTAGGAGCCTAAAAAGGTTGAGGACCACTGCATTATGGCAGTTGGATGTTGCCATTACAGAAACGATATGAACGTAGGGTGTAATTACAAACAACAGTAGCAAATGCTGAAACCCACAATATTGAATTTATTCTAATGGCAGGCCCGGAAATGCACACATGCACTCCCTGCTCACTTCTTCCCTCCTTGTTGCCATAGTGACAGTTATGTTCACTACCTGAACACATGTTAATTGATTACACTGATCATTCCTCATCATCCCCCAGACTCCATATTAATTTCACAGGGAAAGTCAAAATAAGCTAGAGCATACTCGTGTGCAATTATAAATGATACGATTATGGAGCAGTCAAGAATTGCTCCCTTAATTTCCGTTGTTATTCCAGGTGATTCCAAAGAATAAGTTTGTCCTGGTGAAGTTTGACACCCAGTATCCTTATGGCGAGAAGCAAGATGAGTTCAAGAAGCTGGCAGAAAGTTCAGTGTCCAGCGAAGAGCTGCTGGTGGCTGAAGTGGGAATATCAGGTGAGATGCTGTAATGTAACAAACTAATACGGTGTCACCCATGGGGGCCCGGGAATAAAATGCTGGTGCTAATCAACCTTTAAAGCAGCCACTGGCAAACCATGCAGGCCTGTTTTCCAGCAGGCCTTTGAGGGAGCTCTGGTGGTGAGTGGTCACAGAAGAATTACAGTGATCCAGTTTGACTCGGGGGATCTAAGAATAAGTTTGCCGAAAGGCTCCCTTTTTAGTTGCTCTTGTTCTAATTCCCCCTTTATTGTGGTTAGTAGCAGAGTGGACTGCCCCCACACGTGCTGGGTGTAGGAGTGCTGAAGTTCATGAAGGCACTTTAATTAAAGTAAATATACCTTTTTCTTTGCAGCTGCTCCTGACTAGAGGAGGGGTGTCTGTCCTTTATGCCTCAGTAGAACAAGCCAAATCCCTGGGTTCATATCCTGGTGTCTCTTCCAGGAATTCATGTGAGACCTGCTTGTCCTCAGATCATGTCTTTTAAATTTGTTTGGTGTGTTCTCGCTATGAGTGTCTGCACTGATGTGAGTTTAGGAATAAAATTGCAAAGAGCTGGCGCAGTCTGCACCCTTCACACGTTAAGCTGATCTCCAAGAAGAAATGAAACCATCAGAACATGACTGAGAAACCAAATCAGTGGGAGAGTTAGAGCAAGGTTAAATAAATGCATTATGGGGGTGGGATTTGCATCTTTCTCTGAAGGACATAATGGACTTTTAAATAGGCTTTTATTTTTGTTCCAGTGGATGGCAAAGGCTGTTACAGTTACAAACGCAGACGTCTACTGGTTTGGAGAAGAAATAATCTGATCGATGTCCTGAGCCTTTTTGTGTCTGGTTTCTCTTCACAGATTACGGTGATAAACTGAACACTGAGTTGGGTGAGAGATACAAGCTGGATAAGGACAAGTATCCTATTTTTTACCTGTTCCGGGATGGTGACCTTGATAATCCCTTACCTTATAGCGGCCAAGTGAAAGTGAGCGCTATTCAGCGTTGGCTGAAGAGTAACGGCATCTATCTGGGCATGACAGGCTGCCTGAAAGAATATGACATCCTGGCAGGCAAGTTCATGAGCACCACTGAAGAATCAGAGCGCCGAGCCCTTCTCAAACAGGGCCAGACAACTTTAGAAAGAGCCAAGGAGATGGAGAAGAAATCCGCTGAGCAGTACTTGAAAATCATGAGCAAAATCCTGGAGCAAGGAGAAGAGTTTGCTGCTAACGAAGTTGTCAGGATCACAAAACTGATTGAGAAGAACAAAATGAGTGATGGGAAGAAGGAAGAATTACAGAAAAGTCTCAATATTCTTGCCTCCTTCCAGAAGAAGAACGAAAAAGATGAGCTCTAACAAGCTGGAGAACTCGGTACAAGCTGTGATACACTGGTGGGAGGAGTCCCCTTCCCTTCTCCTTACGCAGGCAAACTTCCCATCGACTTCAGGGGAGCAGCAAAAGTCCTTCTAACGTCCTTGGTGCTGTCAACTACTAAGAGGATGACATTCCTTTCACAATAACAGTATTCTGTAGTTGGAGTTCAAAAAAAACCATCACCGTCTAAAGTGAGACTGCAGTGTTTGTGGTGATCAGTATTACAACCTTTCTCCTTCCCCTTCCCCTCCAAAAAAGAATTATGGTAAAAAAAAAAAAAAACTAAGCATGGAGCAGCACGTGAGGGGCATGCAGCACTCTTCCCAGTGGGAATTACTGGGGTTCTTTCACGGCAAATCAGTGACAAACGTTGAGTCCCTTGCGCTCCAGTCCAGGGTCTCGAGGGGAGTGTGATTCTAGACAGTTCTTACTTCTGGCCCCGCTTCCCCCCAGCTCTGAACCCTTCAGCCTTGTCCTTCCTAAACTTTTCCCCATTCTGGTTCTTTTCCTCCACTTCTGGCTCTGTGGCTTCCCAGTTCTGGTTTCTACCCCTTTGGGACTAACATGGTTTTTTTTTAACATAAGCCTATGTCCTTGTGCCTAGTCCTCATTACCTGCTCCTTTCCAAACTCAGTTGGTTCAGCAGCTCCCACACCTCTGTGCGCTCTCAGATCTCTTTCACACACGTGTCTCAGTCCTGTCTTCCCTTTCTCTCTGCCTAGCTCCCAGTTTCATTGCCCAGGTGCTCCTTACCCAGTGTGTCCCAATAAACTTGTCCTGATCTACTCTTTCCCTCCCCTGAGGGCCCGCTTTTGTCCTTTCTGCATTCAAATCAAATGCGTTGCTGTACGCTGTTTGGGGACCAGCAAGAAGTCATCGATGGCAGGAAAGATAGGCATCATCCTCTGCGTTTCTGTGGCCAGTCCTGTCACTCAGGGCAGCCATGACAGCCACCATCCTCACAGCAACGGATTGCGATCCTGGCCAAGCCAGAAATTTTCCCGTTTTTGCTAATAACTCCTAGCCTATCTTCATTGAGTCAATGTGAACTATGCTCCCCTTTTTCCCTCCCCCTAAATACTTGGCCAGACTTTTTTTTTCCTCGCCCATGGTGGCCAAAGTGTATGCCTGCTACAAAGGCCACCAGACCTCCCTTCCTGTCAAATTTTACATTCCCTTTCTCGAAGTATAGGAGCAAGAAGGGAGGAGAAGGGCACAAAAGCATTTAAAAGGTGGCACTTTAAACAAGAATTAAGGCTTCATTTTCCATAATGGCTGAACACCTAGCGTAGAAAGGTAAAGCTCCCCCGTAATATTTTGGCACGGTTTCTAAGCCACTGAAACTGGATCTTAATAATGGGAAGGGCTGGCAACCACTGGCAAGTGTATGTGCACCCGCTACAACCAGGTGCCGCTGCTGGCACCTGCAAGTGGTCACCATGTGCCACCCTCCTCCCCCTTGCTGCCAACACTGCCGGTGGTGTCTGACGCATCCATGAGCAGTCGCTGACTGGCGGTCGGCGCTTGCTGCCGCTGCCACCGCCTGCGGAAGCTTGCCATGCCCCCCCTTGCTGGCAAGCAGTGCTAGTAGCCCCCTCTATAATTCAAGAGGGGTCTCCGTGCAGAAATCCGTCGCCTTCCCAGGGATGGCCGTCGCAGGCGCTGCCGTTGCTCTCGTTGCATTGGTGGCGGAGGGATGCGCCTGGTGCGTTTCACCCACGGACCAAGGAACCGGGGTTGTGACAGTGCTGCCTTGCTGTGGGAGGGGGTTGCTGCCAAGCGGGCTGTGCTCCAATAAAGGAGTGTGCACCCCGCCCGCCTCTGCAGGGCAGCCAGGGCTGGGTCCCTGCTGCTGTCAATCACGGGCACCCCCTGAGGCGAGCGCGCCTCTGATTGGTCTCTCCCCCTCCTGCCCGACCCCTGCAGCGGAGCGGCCAATCGCAGCCCTCCTCGCCGGCCCCGCCCTCACGCCTCTCCCTAGGGCTGCGGCGCGACCAGTTCCCTGCTGGCTGTGGGGGAAGCCTGGGGGCGGGGTTAGCCAAGTGACGTCAGGCGGAGGGGCGCGTAGAGCCCGGCGGGCGGCACGTGTAGTGGGGAGTCGCTTGTTGCCGCGTGCGTGGGGCGCTGACCCGCGCTCAGGAGCCTGTTGGCGGGGTTCTTTTTAGGGGATTTTTATTTGTCTTTCGTGCTCCAGGTGCGGCGCAGCCGGGCTCCGTGCGCGGGTCTTTGCGGGGGGCGGGCGCAACCTCCACTGCTCCCGCCCAGGCATGCCTCTGTCTGCGAGATGCCAGCTGCTCCCGGAGCTGAGCCGAGGCTCAGCCCCTCCCCAGAGGAGGGGCACGGGGAGGCGGGTGGCAAGCCAGCCCTCGCCGCCTGTATCGGGGTGGGAGGCAGCTGGTCCTGTCCGGTCCCTGCAGCAAGCCCATGGCCGGGCCCCAGCTCAGCCGGCGGGATGGGGACGGGGACGGGGACGGGGACTGGCAGGAGGTGAGGGGGGCCCGGAGTCTCCCGTCCAGCGCTGTCCAGCTGCCCAGCCTCTCCTCTCCTCTCTTCTCCCCTCCCCAGCTGCTAGTCCCGTCCCTTTTGGTGTCTTTGCCTCTAGTCTCTCTCCATCTCCCTTGCTGGATCCCTCTTCTCTTCTTCCAGCTGCTCTCCGTCCAGACCCAGTGTCTCTCCACATCTCCTCTGTTCTTTTGAGCTGCTCTTTCTCCCCCAATTCCTGGAGGCAATCCCTCTTTCCAATTTTTCTCTCTCTCCATCCACCTATCCTTCTCTCTCGGTTCTTCCATCCGCCTCCTCTCTCGTCTGGTTGCAATGTCGGGGTGCTTTTTAACACCCCTCATCTGGCAAGAAATAATTTGATCCACTTGGCTTTCATTTCCCATGCAGGAACCCAGCCTCAGGGTTTTCTGCCAGGCATCACAATCAACTGTAGTTAGGACTGAATTTAAACAATAATTTCTCCTTCCAGGTGGAAAATAAGGATTGCTTAGTGTAAAAAGTATTATTACAATAAAAAGTATAATAATAATAGTGAAAAAGCTTCTTTGACAACACTTTTTTTTCAATCCTCCCCAGGTTTATTCTGCAGTACAATGGATCCAGTTTGTCATGGCCACTTTAAGGTACGGTATTTAAGCAATATATAGATGTGAGGAATTGCGTGTAGGTTTAGTAACATCCTTTAAATCTCTTTTTGTGTTGTTCCAGCTAAATAATGTGACTTTATTAATTTTTATTTCAATGTTAATAAACTAAGTAAAAGTAGATGTGCTGCTCCGTAACCATAGAAGAAATGAAACAAAATTCCAGGTTTTGGTCTCATGCCAACTTCTCAATTGTCAGTGTTACAGGCTCCAGCTCCATCATTGCCTACGCTGTCTTCCAAAACACAGTGCGCTCTCCGGAGGTAAGGACTCTGCCTTTCATTTTTTAAGAGCCTTTGTTTGGTGCCCTGCGGATAAATGGGACTTTATGTAACCAAGCAGATGTTTGTGCATGAGCTCTCCACTAGGAATACGCAGAATTTTTAGGCACATCCTCTTTTTATTGCTAACCCTTAAAAAAAATGTTTAGGACTCGGAAGCAGATGTCTGAACAATTCATTGGCTTGTTATCTGAAATCATACGTTGTTTTATGCAACAGATACTCTTTCTAGGATTTTTTTCCTTCCCCGCTGCATGGATTTAAGAGGATAATGAGAAATTGTGGTGCTGTGGTCTGACCCAAGGACTGGGAATGGAAAGCTTCTCACAGTAGTCTCGATCCTTGCTCTGACCCTGACTGTTTCTGTTGCTCTGGGGGTGTCACTTAACCTCTCCGACGCAAAAAATATGCCAAACAATGGAATAAATAATACTTGATTTACTTCATGAAATGGAAGAAAAGAGGCGGTGAAGATTAATTGGTTAGCAGGATAAAACTGGATCAAGCTCTGTGGCCACCGACTAGTACACATCTGCCAACTAAGCACGGAGAGTGGAATTGAGCCCCCCTTTCTGAGAGCACAAATGAACCAACATCAGTGTGTGCGCAGCTACATCCTGTAGCCAAACTATAGATCAGTGAACAACTTTGGGCAAACCATTTAATAATTTGCATTTCACCTCTTTTTCTAATGCTTAGCTATTGTAAACTTTAAAATATGTTCATGATTTTTTTGTGGCATTTGCTCTACATATGAAGAGTTTTTAAAAACAGTTTTGATACAAATCTCCAGAATTCAAACTTTAGTATTTGCAAGGTTTGGTAATTATGTCAGTCACTTGGAGTTGCCTCCATTCTCTGGTTAAGTGGCCTGTGTAAGTAACCTATATAGCAAATGTTCCAATAGGAAATCATTTTAAATGAACTTTCATTTTAAATTAACTTAAATGAAAAATGAATGGGGCTGAAAAGTAATAAAAAGGTATAAACTAGTTGAGTTCTGCTGACTCCTAAGGATTAATTCTGACATAATTATAACAAAGTTTTCTGTTTTATGCACCTTCCTCGTCTTTAAAAAATATTACACACCTCATGAGTCAGATCTTTGATTCCTATGTACCCACATCCCCATGGGGCATAGCACAGAATTGGGATGTGTGCACAGAGTCGAGTAAACATAACACAACATTGGGTGATAGTGGAGAAGGGAAAGGATGTTTAGGCTGTTCCTAGAGATTGGGGTCTTATCTACAGGATGTCAGGATTTCAGATCTCTTACACAGAAGCCATCTAACACACAGAGTAAAGAGTATGCAACTTATTCACCTCGGAAGAACAAGGGCTAGGTCAACCTTGTTAAGATTTGAGGTGGTGGCTTTAGGTAGTTCAAGTATTTCCACCCTCATGCCGTCTCTGTTTCTGAAGGCTTCTGCAGAAGCACTGCCTGCCCTGGCTGTCAATTCCTGATGCTTCAGAGGCAAGTGAGCTCTGCAGTACCTGTGCACTGCTATGCACCCTGGCAAGAATCCAGGCAGTTGCCCAATTGTGTAAAGATTTGGGGGTGAATTCTTCCTAACGCTTGTAGCAATAATCTTATTCCTCGACTCATGATTTTTATGAGTAAAGTATGATAAACCAGGTGTTCATTTCCAAGCTACGCCAGGTGGGGGATAGAATTATAAACATTGATTCATCCAGTCTGGGACCTGCTGCTGAATTTCAAAACACTGAAGCGCACTTTCTGGGTGTATGTTGCCTAGAAAACCCCCAGCACTAACTGTTATTTAAGGTGTGACACATTACCAAAAGAATTCCCCCAGCCAGCCTTGTGTGGGAGAAAAACTGGAGGGACTCAAAAACATGGGCTATCTGCAGGTAGATGTGCTCTGGGGAACTTCCAGTCAGGTTGCACACAATACCCACACTTTTTTTTCCTGTCAACTATCTGTTCTAAACCATTACATTGTAAACTAGAGGGAAAAAAATGTAAAAGAAAGCATTCTGGTTTTTCTTTTTGAAAATGAGAACAAGTTTGCCTTCCACTTTAACAACAGTATCATCTGCTTCCTTGTACGCTTCTGTACCTAAATGTTTCCCTATGGGTGAACTGTTAGACAATGACTGGGGTCACCTGTTTGCTCAATAAAGTTGCTGATCCACTTCTTCCAGGGTTGTTTTCTTTTAGTCTACCCATGGGAACAACCATCAGCGAGTTCTAGACTTCTGTACATACACTGCTTGTCACCGGTCCAGTTCTGCATTCACAAGTGGGTGGCAGCATTTAAAAAAAACGTTATAGGAAGAACGAGTAAATACAATGAACTCAGTTATAAAAACTAGCTGAAGATATTTACACAGAGACTAAAGGTTTGATTCACTGGTTGGCAGGTATTAGATGGTGCTACTCAGAGCTAAAATCTAGAGATCCATGTTCTCAGGCACTATAAAGCAAGAGGTGCTTAAACTACAGGCGAAACAAAGACTGAGACATAGAAAGACCCTGAAGAGAATCCATTGCTGCTTCTTTGTAGCCATAGAATAAGCACCAAACTGATGGCCAGATTTTTCACCAATGTGAAATTTAGCAAGCCGTTTTTCTTCATCTGGTATGAAGGAGACTGTTATAAGTAAACACTTGTGCTGGTGTGCAGTTGTTTTTAATTAAAGAAGAGTGCCAAGTTGCATTCAGTCCAAAACATTGGTTTTGTAAAATAAATGACCTTTCAAAAAACTAAATCCTGGAGAAATGTTTCCAGATTTGTTCAAGCTTTAAAAATTCCTATAGAAAAAAGTACCAGCATATTTTCTTGTGGATGCTGAAATTTAGGCACCAAAACTTACATTTTAATGTCTGCATAATTGGCCTGGTTTTCAGAGGTTGTGCCCTAGTAACTCCAGCTGGCCCAGAAAATGTTGTCCAGTGTTTTTAACCGACTGAATATTTCCCTGTAGTGTTTACAGCCCAACTTAAACAGCTTTTTGCTTGTGTATGAGAATGTGAAATTGTCTAGAAACTGCTGATAAACAGGGATTGTTCTAGTGCTTAAACTCAGAAAGATGCAGCAGCGAAACAGCCACATTGCATATGCTTCAGGTGTGTAAAATTATTTCAGACTTAAGTCACTATGGGCACTAATTGTAAGATATGGAAGGACAACCTCTTTATCAAATTATAGGATTTTGAACCTTTAAACCACTTACAGCCAAATTCAGTGCAGCTCAGTAGATTTGTTTAAAGTTGATAAAGTGTTCATTTATTCTGGGCACTTCTGGTATAAACCTTCCCTAAGTGCACAAAGCAACACCACTTTCTAGTGTAGGGATAACAGCACTAGCTGGGTACCTGGGCATGAAAGTTAATCAGAGGAAGGATAGCAAAGTTCTAACTTTTGAAGTTGGTTCAGACTACCTAGAGCATTCATCAAACTAACTAATCCATTTGACTTTTCTAGGTGCGCCCTCTTTTCTACCTAAGCCTCTCTGACCTGTTCCTGGGGGTTTGCTGGCTTGCTGGGGCTCTGCTCTATAGCACACAAACTGCAAATCAGGATATCATATGCTATAACCTGCAAGCAGCTGGGCAGGTGAGTAACGTTGGATTATCAACTTATGCTGTCAGGTTGCTTTGCTTGAACTATTGACTGAACTGCCCTAGAACAAAACTCCGAATGCAGTTCTAAATGCAGCTCAGGCACTGGCTTCCTCTCTGATCTTAATATGAAAGATTGCCATGCCTCATCTGTACAGTGTTGTAAATAATATAGATCCATAGCTCATGGCAGGGCAGCAATGTGGCTGCAGTGTTTGATTATCTGTCATAAAAATAGTTGATGGTTTCTCTCTTTTTGAAAGTGTACCAAGACTGCCATTATGTGTAACATAGCATTGTGTTTTTGCTTCAATTAGAAGTTTTCTCCTCCCTGCAAAAGACCCAATTCTCATGTTCCTTTAGGCCAAGACCTGAAAACCTCAGTCGCCAAAGCATCCTCTTACATTGATAGTCCTTGCCCTCACAGTTTGTCCCAAGGAAGCTCAGTAGTTACTCAGTTGCCAGAGTGCTTCTCCTGAGGTTTGCTGCTTGCGTCTGCTGCCCATTCCTGTTCTGCACTCAATTCATGTGAAGGGGCATCAATGAAGTGGAAGCATTTTCCTGACAGTTCTCTTTGTCTTGATGGCTTGCCTTGGCATCATTAGGGTTTCTTCTTGTCAGAACCTATTTGTCATTACCTGGTACACATCAGACATCCATCTACTTCAGGGAGAAGAGAGGAGAAGGGGGAGAAGGAGGCCCCAAAAAAGGTGCCACTGGTTCAGCAAAAAAACCCATTGCCCTCTGGTGGCTACAGCACTTTGGAATGGCTTGAGCTGCAAGGAACGCATGGGGTGTATGCAGTCGAGACTTTGGGGCTATGTAAACTCACAGAGGCTGCAGAAGTTTAAAGTTACTGTTATGTCCAAAAGGACAAGGGGGCTCCAGCTGGTGTTTGGACGAGTTTAGTGTGCACCCTAGAACAGGAGAAGACAAAGTACTGGCAAGCCTGCTGTAAACAGAAATACTGTACTGGCTTTGTGTGTGATGGAGATAATGATCCACTCAGTCTCTTTTCCTTCTCTAATTCTTTTATTGCAGTCAAGATGTGGACCAAACCTATCTGGTCTGTAGGCTGCAAATTGTCCAAGTGGGCTAACAGGACATTTCCCACCCTTTTCCTTCAAACCTAGTCAGTGGGAGTTGGAAATAGCTCTCTGTAAATCTTAGAGAGGCAGGAAGACAGCTCAGTGTATAGTATTGCATGAGACCTCGCAGTGCTTTACATTTTGTAGTCAGGTTACCATGACTTAGGTTTTTTTTTAAAGATCAGTACTCTTAGGTAAGCCATGTGACTCATCATAGCAAGAGCTGTACTTATGCAGAACTATTCCACTTGTAGCTTATCTCTGACTTCTCCAGTTCCTCTTGTGCTACTGTAAAAACAATGATATACATTTGCCTTGGGGTAGGGAACAAACAGGTTTGTTAGGGAATGTGCTGTAGTGGTCCTTTGGCAAGGAGGAGAGGGATGTATTCTAGCTGGGGTCACATAAAGGAGAGCAGTGGGGGAGAAATAAGGGAAGTATGTGAAAGGATTTTCTGGGCACGTGGCTGCTGGGAGCTTTGAGGATGGAAGTCGTTTTGTAGGCCAAGTAGGTAAGCTTCTCATTGCGGCATGGTTTTCAAGCGCTACACCATCCATCCAGACATGGCCCAAAAAAGTCAGAGCGTTGCATTGCCATGATACATATATATTTGGAAAGCAATCATATCCACTATTTTTGCTGGTTCTGTCTGCTCAGGGAAAGATGGGAATGCAGGTTTGCTTGGAAGCAGTGCACTGTTGCATCTCAGGAGATGTGGGCTTGGTGGTGACTTCAGAGACACCTCCTCTTGCCCTAAGTGCAGTGAAGGAGCCAGTGTGCTTAAGGCCCTGAAGGTTCATGGCATTAATTGTAAGGCTTCATCACCATTGAACTCAGGGGACTACACTCCATGCCTTCCCAGCCCCTGGCAAGGTCCCTTGGTGGCATCTGCAGGCACCTGGAGAACATGGAGGTGAGAGGGGCAGCTGAAAAACAACAGAGTTTTACTTTCTCTGGAAGCAAGAAATCCAGACCATGGCTTGGGGCAGGACACTACTCTAAATGGATAAGGATTACATTGAGGTACAGCGAGTCCTGCATCCATTTGAGACACTTCCAGCCATCACCTGTGTTTCAGCCCCAGGGGGGGCAGTACTACAGCTCAAGGTTCCCACTGCTGTTTCCTAGGTGCAGTGGAAGTTGAATGAAGCCTTTACCCTAGGTCCATGTTACAGTGGAAATAAGTGGCCAGCTCCCCACAGTACAGGAAAGGGGGATCAAGTGGACTTTCCCTGGGTAAAGACGAAGGCAGTCAGTCTCTGATGGAAGGGTGCTCCAGCCTTCAGCCCTATTGAAATCCCTCTCTACTGTTGACTCTAACAGGAGTTAAAACACCTCAAGTACTTCCCATAGCAACCTGTGGCGTATATGCACCATATGATAAAATACAGGACAATTCGTTAAAGAAACATGCTCGCTACAACTGTGTGTAGTGAGAACTTCACACACACACGAATTGGTAATCACATTTGAGCAACACCTCAGCCAGCCACAAGTGATCTGCGTTATAATTAAATAAAGAAATATCTCCTCACCACCATCTACAGCTCCCTTCTAGTCCCCTGGCTTAGGAATCTCACATTGTGTTCATAGACATTTTGTTTAAAATAGTCCAAGCCTTTAATCCATGCCCCAGGGCACATTCTGGTAATGTTTATAAATGCTCTGAACTTCGTAAGTAGAAGGGGCCAGAGATAGGCAAGGAACTGATATTTCTTAGTGTTCTCAGATTAATGGCACAGGGACATCAGTGCAAGCCTCTCCATACTGTTCCACCATGTGAGATGCCTGCAGAAAACACACAAAAGCAGTTGAGCCTGTTTGGCCCATTCATTATGGCCTAAAAGAAATCAATACAAACTAGTGCCTATAAATTTCTAACTCTGAGGGAGGTTAAGTACTGAAACAGGTTACCTAGAGAGGTTGTGGAATATTGATCAGTGCAAGTGTTTAAGTGCAGAAACGTACCTAGAAAGTCTTAGACAGGGATTTTTCTCCACTGCAGTCTCCAACAGATTGTTAAATAAATTAAATAAAAATGTAGCATATGTTCCCTTCTGCTGGCCTGTGAGTTTATCTTTTTTCCGTCATGGCCATCAATTCCATGCTACAAGAAACAGAGGAGGTGCCACGGTAATTATGAAATGTACCCACAGTCTCCCAATTAATTCTAATGAAACAGTGAGATCTTTTGTGGATTCCACTCTGTTTGGCTGACACAGTGGGAAACTAATTATAATTAAGGACCAAAGAAGAGAAAACTAAGTGCTTTCCATTCTCTTATATTCCAGCCTCATTCCTACATGCCAAGCGGTGATGGGGATGGCAGCCCGGGGCCTGGAAGTTTATCCTCAATACCAGAAGTTGAGGGGGGAGAGTCAGGAGAGCAAGGCTCTTTTCTTAGTTCCGCCAGTGACTCAGTGAGTGGCTTTGCATAGGTCTCTGTGCCTCAGTTTCTTATACGTGAGAGGCGAGAACAATAGTTACCTGGCTTTCACGGAGGACTGTGATATACATAAGAATTAAAATGAGTTATGTTTGCAGACTGTCCTGTGGAAGACGCTACAGAAGAGCAAAGGATTCTCATTCAACTCCCACCGTGAGTTGGAGAGCCGTTCCAACATTCCTGACTCAGAAACAGTCGTCCGTTCTTTCTTGATCTTCTTGCCCAAGAACATCTGTTGTCTTGATTAAAACGAAGTCTCAAGTTTCTCTTACTTCATTAATGTTTCCCAGGATAAGATGGGAAGCCCCTAGCATAGTCCTTCTGCTGGAGCTCATCATTGCTTAAAGTAGCCTGAAAAAGCGGGTCTGTCATCACATCTCTGTCTGCCTATGTCCAGTGGTTAGTTCTGGCTCCAACCTTCAAATCAATCTTGTTCCCTTAGCCCCCACATCAGCTCTGTCCTTCAGCCTCCATCAATTTTGGCCTCTGTTCAATTTGCACCCTCTCATTGCCAATCACTTCTGCCTCTTTAGTTCCCAAATCAGTCTTGTTCTTCATCCCCTCCTCTACCAGACCTATGGTAGCAGGTGTAGCAGGGACGTGGACTAGAATCAGCCTTTTAATTTTTGGCATGTCCTTGATCTCTCCACAGTGTTTAATATTTTACCTCCAATGCTGTATCATGGTATGTTTTTGCAGTTAGTATACAGTAGATTGATTAGTGGTTGGGGTTCATTGGAGATGTAAAGCATCATAAAAACACAAATGTTATCGATGGAATAAAATCAAGCCTGTTCTTATTTCTCAGATTTTCTATATGGCTTCTTTTCTCTACACCATTAACTATACCTGGCATCTATACATGGATTTGAAAGTGAAATACAGTCAGAACCTTCACAGGATGTCCTCTTTGGTGAGTGCTGTTGGATGGTTTTTCATTGTATTACATATTAAGAAACCGTGCTAAGACTTACAATGCTGTCCAAGACATAAATAAGAAAGACAATTCTGGTCACAATGAATTTACAGTCTGAAGCTCCATCCCTGTCATTCTTTCTTTAGTGATTGACAGGTTAAGGTCAAGAGGGCTCCATGTGGGTCTGTATTATAGGTCCTGATAGCTAAAGTAGGTCTGAAAGACCAAAACAGAGAAGATAATCTACACTGTAACTCTCGGAGGGAAGAATAATTCAGAGGACCAGATACTCAGGCAGTGCATGATGGCATCTTTCTGTCATCAGTAATGCAGAAAAGAGAGACAGCCTGACTGAGGAGCAGTCCAGGCATGAAGAGCAACATGGAAAAAGGATGAAAGAAATGCATGTAGGGACAGATTCTCCTCTACCTATTGAGTGCCCAAGTGCTCCTTTTCCACCCTGCTTGAGTCCATGGAAAAATTTTCATACAAAAGGTGGGTGCATCCTCCTTATTATTTTTTTTTGTGACTTAGTTTTAAGGATAAGAGGACAGCCTGTTACAAAAAAATAGTTGTATTAATGGACTTTCAAGGACTCAAAAAAGGTGGAATAGGACTGTATTTAGGCACCTAAGTCAAATTAGGCACCAAACAGGTTGAGTAGGATGTGTTCTTTAATATTACTGTGCTTCTCTTGCTCCATCTATAAAATAGGCATAATACTTACCTAGGATCATACAGGCTTATTGTACAGCTCCATTCATGAATACCTGCCTGTAAAATATGTTGAGAGTTCGAGTGGGAGGACATTGAGCAGGACAGGTTGGTACTCCAGCATAGGCTTTTTTGAGCTACTGTTGTCAGGAGCCTTTAGACGCACTGTTCAAGATCTAGCATAATCTTTAGGAATGAAGGAATACAAAGACACAACTCAGAAACACACCCTTCAAGTACAGGCTAAACAAACACTTCACATGTCATTCTTCACACCCAGCTCTACCTTGAGCAACTGCTATCTCTCTGGAGAGAGAATTCCTCCTGACGTATTACTGCCCGACAAGAGGCTCTTTATCCAGCACTTCCTGATGAATTTGTCAGTTGAATTTCTCTGTGTATCTGTCCTTTTTCCCGGTGAGAAATCCCTTTGCCAACTATCCCACGCTTCCCTGCACAGACAGTTGCTCCTTACGTTTCCACGCTTCTGTTGGTGGAAAGCAGACATGACAGATCACAACGCAGTTGAGAATTTCCCAGATGTTGAACCAGCTCAAAGGGGCATTTCTCCCTCTTCGCTAGTTCTTACAAACACCCACCCCATTTTTACACAGCAGGCCAGTCTGAAGTCTCGTGTTTAAAATTCAGCTCTGAGCACTGTAAATTGAGACCATTGCCACTTCTTCTGTGCCTACTGGTTTAACTTCTCTGATTTAAACTAAGGCTGGAACAACCTGGACCTTTGTGGTCCCATTAATATTGATAACCTGTCTTGATTTTTAGGGCGACTTTTGTCCACAGACTGTAAGAGTTCTGCTTTATCTCTGCCTCACTATCTAGGTGCCTCTGGGAAAGAGGAAGGCAGGATGCCAGTTAAGTTCTTCTTCTCTGCCTTAAAGGGGAAATCAAGATGTGTGTTTATGTACCCACCCTGCACTCTGGTTTCTCTCATTGTTCAACAGAAAAGGTGGCACATGATTACCCTACAATGCGATTGCATGAATGTGTCTGTAGAACTATGCAAACTTGAGCAAGAAGGAGCTCTGATCAAGAAAAACATTTAAACTCAGACTCTTGCTGGGAGTTTTTACTTATGCCACCGGTTTTCCACAACTGCAGAACTGGACGGTGTTGTGGGCCATGCCCACCGCTTCCTGGGGGCAGTCTAATGCGAGCAGCCATGGTGTGTCTCCCAGCAAGCAGACTCTGACTCTCATACTTCCTCTCACAGTTTGGTTATGCTTCTGCAAAGCCTGCCAATTTCTATTGCACAAAATTGTGTGCAAAGACCTCATCAAGAGTCTGTTTTCCATTTTGAAGTTTTCCCTCTGGATCCTTCCAGCTTCTGAAGGGCAGCCATTCAACAAATTGTTGGGAGAAGCAGCTACAAAAGTTAAATCTGTTTAACTTCCATTGCACTATGCATTCCTCAGTGCATTTTATATCCCTCATTTTGGGTTGAATAAGGATTAACGTGCCTTGAAACCACAGTGGGGAAATGCTTCCAAAGTTTAGAAATGTAGCTTAATGGTCAGAATGAATTACTGAGAGCCAGGATCTTCTGTCTGAGACCCTATCTCTGACCCTACATTTCCCTATCTGCAAAATACAGGTAGAAACAAAGCTGTTTAATTACCTCAGAGGGCTGACACAAGGATTAACTAATGAGTGTTTGTTAACCACTTCCACCTCATAAAGGTCTCAATACATTTTATTGTTTGCAATTCCCTTCTGCTTTGGGCTGATACCTCAGAGATGTTATACAGCAGAGCCATGTGGATCAAGAGGATTTTGGTTCCAAGTGTATGTGGCCATCAAGTGACTCATTTCTCAAGGGAAGATGTTTCCATGCTATTCAGTGGAATCTCTATTTTGTTTTTTTGGCCTTTTTCATGGATTCTCACGCTAATACTTGCTTCAGCATCTGGTAAATGTAATGAATTACATACTGGTCTTCAGGGCTTAAATGTCACATGTTCATTTACTCCTCCCAAGGAAGACAGCATCAAAACTACATCCATGTGTCTTATTCTTTCCTTAATGCAATCTGGTGTGATATTATAGAACAGGTCCTACGGTGAAGGGAAAATCACATGTCAATTGATGGAGAGAATTCCCATTGATTTAACTGAGGTCATGATTTAGTCCAGCGAACGAGTATTCATGTGGCTTACATGCCAAGAGAATGAGAATGGAGCTGGACAAGAAAACAAGGGGGGAAGTGTAAGGAGGCTTAAGATAGACTGCAAGTCTATCGTATGCTTTCTTGCTCGTGGCTTTTCTAGACACAGCCTCACCCTGTTTCTTATGTTTCAGCTTACACTCATCAGTACAGCTCATGCTGACTTACTGATGTGTACCTTACCCCCTTTCACCTCTGACTTTTCTCTCTCATTTTTCCTGTGTAGTCAGGAATCTGACTGTGGCTGTTCAAGACCTCTCTCTTCATTTGGTTTCCTTGGAGGAGAATGATTAAGTGAGAATCATTCTAGGAGAGCCTCATGCATGGGACTACTGGGCTTGGTCTCAGAAGCCAAGATTTGTGGCTTATCTTACATGTCAATTGTTAATTTGGTACTTCCCCCTCAGTAATTTGGTAAGATTCACTACCTCTACTAAAGCACAGGTATCATTATGGAACTGAGCTACTGATAACTTATCCTCCTAGCATGAATCCTCTTAAGTTGACAGCTCTCATGACATACAAGGAATGATTGTTCAACTAAATGTTTTGACTCTTGCAGGTTTTAGATTATGGTAGTTGTCTTGGCCGAACAGCAACAATTTTATGCAGGTAAGGTCTATTTCTCTCTGAGATTGGGTGTTTTCAGCGAATTGGTGCTAGCTCAAAGCTCATCTTTATATTTGAAGCCATTATTATTATTAAATCCTGACTCTGTATTGCATGACTTGGTAGTAGTGGAGTCTTTGACCAACAGACTCAGAATCCCAGCGGACACGGATCGCTTTTCCTCCAGTTAAATTAGCTATAATGTGTCCAACTGTAATGAGCCATTGTTTACGTGCTTCCATGTATGAATGTGTGGGAGAGAGACAGTGTGTACACTTCCTTCTGCTTCATGGAAATGGGACTTGATCAGTGTGTCCTGGATCCCCTGGTGCTTACACCAAATGACGATTCTCCCTTTGGAGGATCTAGGTTTTATTCTTATCATCTTAGTGCCTGTTCCAAGCGATTTTGATATGACCATGAAATTATTATAATTTCTAGTAGGGATCACATCCAGTTTTTAAATTCTTTGAAAATATAAAGTACCGTTGCTTAGATATACATTATTGTGATTATGAGGATCCTTCTGGGTTATCAGAAGCACAGCAGAAGTGCCCACGTCGTAGCCCTGTCAGATTCTAATGAATCTGCAAATTCTGCTAAATACCTGTCCTCAACAGTCTCAGACAGGACACAAGAAGTAGTAGTACGAGACTATTAAAATATACTGAAATAATTTATACTCCGTTACCGAGGTATATCTCCTGCTGTCCATGTGAATGAAAGCACAGAAGCTAGAAGTTATATTAGATGGATGTTAGAGAACTATTATTTCACTGTATATCCATGAAAGCACAAAAGAAAATGCTAGTCAGGTCAGGAGAGAGCAGCTTCTTTAACTGAGCTACTGTCGTTTTCTCTCTCCAGCTTGATCCCTTTCCTACTTATGGTTCCTGTGTTTTGCCTGGGCAACAGTAGTGATTGCTATGGGAACTTCAGTCAGAAACATGGGTAAGCCACACCTCAATTCTGAATGCCTCGCTCCCTCCGAGGTGGATATAAGGAGCCCCCCCAAGTAAATACACAGGCTCTCCCCTTTCTGGTTCCAGGTGTCTCCTGATGCACACAGAAATAACCAAACCCACTGGTCAGCTGCAACCTGTTGGTGGCTCTCTTTGTTCTGTGATATATTTGTATGGCATCGGGATCTTCCTGATCTCTTTCTGGGTCAGCTTCATAGCCATTCTGGTAAGAACATTTTTTTTCCTTGTCCATCAGACTGCGAGTACAGTGAGTAAGGCTAGTGCTTCCCATCTGGATGATCCCCCTGTCACTTTACAGTCACAGGTGGGTTATATTAGCAGCCCTTATATTCACTCTTGGATTCATCAAAAGAACTATTAAATTACCTTTCTTTTGGCAGTCCCAAGAGCCCAGCTTTGTTTGCCTTCAGAGCACTGATGCAAAGCTTACGTTTGAGCCAGGCCTTTGCTTGACCAGGTCAAGTGAGCTATGGAGGGATTTCTCTTTTCTTTTCTCATATCCTTCTGTGAGGATCGGTGACCAAAGAGGAAGTTTCAAACAGCGGTGGGCAGTTATAAACAGATGTTGGTTTCTGTGTGTGATATACCCACATATCAAGGTGAGGGCCAGAGTATAAATATCTCTATATGTGATAGTTTTAAAATACGTTGGCTGTGAATGTCTGATTCCCACTGGGTACCTGTAGGTGTTCCACCCAAAAAACTACCCCTTTGTGCACATTTAGGAATGATTCCACTTCCCACTGAAATGCTTCCACATCTGAAGTGGAAAGTAGCAGTTGTTTAACAGAACCTAGCAATGCCATCCAATAACTTAAGGCAGGACAAATACCAGAAGTGTTAGTGTGTGATCAGGAATTTCGTAAGAGTGGGATGCATTGTTACAAGAGCTGCTAAGGGTGATTGCTTATTTCCTGGGGTCCAGATCTACTATCTAGAGGTGCAGTAGCTGGGAAAAAAATGTATAACAAGTCAATCACTGTTTTCCACACAGACAAATTATTGTTTTAATAATACTTTATATTGCATTGTTAAGCATGTGGTCCTGGCCACTGTACGAGGGCAGATGCCAAACAAAAGGGAGTGTTGCTCATATCTGGCATTGCAGGGTCTATTTACCAGAGGTTTCCTAGATTAAATTCTACCCAAATGGCTTGAATCAGGGGTCAGAAATCTATGATGTGCAGGCTGGATTTGGCCTGCAGACATGGGGTTTCAGTGTCATTTGGCAGCAGAGGGCTTCAGCAACAGTCATTTTTCCCTGCTCCCACAGGGAGAGGACCCGGTTGCAAGCACTTTCTCTGTGCTGCTATGGGAAAAAACACCAGCAGCAGGTGTGGCTGGGTCCTAGTCCCACTGGTCCTCTCTGACCCAAACTGGATTACTCTGGCCTGCAGTCTAAAAAAGGTTGCCAACTGCTGGCTTAGATACTCTAGATCAGTGCTTCTCAAAGTGGTGGTCCGCGGACCAGTGCTGGTCCGTGAACCACCGGTCGCCAGTCCACAGCGAGTTGGCAGGAAAGAAAGAAATATATTTTCAGAAGCATAACATTGATATGTCATAGCGCCACAGTTCATATGTTCCAACACTCCAGGTGACGTCACATTGTGCAAAGTGAGGAAAGAGAAAGAAACAGCCGGTTGCACATTTGTGTAGCGCTGTTGCACACAGTTGCTGCCACCAGCTGAATGGGGCACCAGTCCCTGGCCCACTGGGAAAAAAATTGCTGGTCCACCACATGAAATAGTTTGAGAAGCACTGCTCTAATTGAACATGTGTCCAACTGCAACTGTGCATGAGATGCAATGAATTTTCCAGTTACACATACGTAATCATATATATTAAGAAATGCAGTTTCTTTTCTAGGTTCTACTCATTCAAGCCCAAGGGTTGTACAAAAGATATGTAAACTCATCAGGATTCTTGGGCAGTCAGCAGTGGGCAATGATTAAGATGGTGGAACAAAGAGTGGTTTTTTACCCCATCGCTTATTTCTGTTGCTGGGGTCCAGGTTGGTAGAGAACTAAATTACTTTTTACAAGATTCCCAATCTTGTGTTCTAGCTAGTAGCTATAAAGAGAGAACAAGTGATAACGCAAAGGTATAAAGGCAACAGCAAAATCATGTTACCAATTTCTTTTCCAGCTGTCCTCCTTGGAATAATGAAGTTGACTGTTTCAGAGAACGGCAGACTCTACATGGCTCTTTATATTCTGCAGGTAAAACTCAGCGTATGAAATCTCCCAGAACAGGTCTTTTTGACATTCACCTGTGCTTTCAAAAAAATCTGTAGGCAGATTTTGAACTGACCTCTCAAATGTCACCCACCACCTGCAGTTAGTTTTCGAAGAATATCAGCTGCCATGTGGAACTTCTGACTATCCATTTGTGCTCAACAACAGTGGAAGGATACTGCACTGACTTCCAAGGGCAGGTGGGGTAGTTTAGCACACTGAAACTTCTGCCAGAGCGCACTCAGGTCATTGAATATTCCTCTGCTGACTTCACCAGGCTCTGAAGCAGCATTCCCTCTACGCTGCATGGCCGCACAGGCATGCATGGCAACGCAGCATGAGCATGCCTGTGCACACTACACAGCTTAGAGGGAACACTGCTCTGGAGCAGGACTTCCAAGATCATGCCCTAATGGGACTCTAACATCCTATTCCAATTTCAAGAAATCTTGCATTTCCCTTAAAATGTAGCCTCACTTTAAGCCAGATCCAGTAACAAATGTGTAAGAGGTACAGAAGGCAAGGAAAAATACATAATTTAATTCCTAATACTTACTATGCATGATGTAGGACAAAACAGACTGTTTACCTCTCTGGGGTCTTTCTTAGGCACTCACTGCAGCTTCCCAGGGGCTCTTAAACTGTATCGTGTATGGGTGGACCCAGAATGCATTCCAGTCCATGAAACGCAAAGCTTGCCGCGACGTTGACACACAGACACCTCTCCTTCGCTCCCAGAAGAAGTTTTATGCCAGCGTGCCCAACCCCAGCACCCAGGCAGTAGCAGTATCTACATCCACAGTGCTCTGACAGTTCTCTGTCAGCAAAGAGGAATAGATGGCCTGCTACCTTCCAGCCCTGGCCTGGTCACAGCTGGTACATGTCAGGCACAGCCACTTTCTTGCCGAATGAACTTAACTGCTTTGTCAGTTATAGGCATTAAGAGTTACATTTAGCCTGTACAAATCTGGATGGAGATGAACTGTTCTCAGTGAAGATCGTTATTTATTTCATAGGGTTTTAATGCATTATTTTACCTTGTAATATATTTAGAGCAGTCTCTTCTTTATGGGAATATCTGAGAGTTGCACGGATCACTACGGTGTCTCAGTCCTTAACTGCCTAGCTCATAAGGAGAGATGGCCAGGGGATATTTTTCTTGCCTTGGTGATTGTCACATTGTACTGACAGATTTCTGACAATAAAGTAAAGAGGAATATTTTAAAATCATGCTCTTATTACCAAAATATAAAAAAGAAAGAAGTGCAACAATAGAAGCTGAATGCACTACAATGTAAAATAATGATGGCAGGTTGAATTAGAGAGGTCAGCCTAACCCCCTGTCCTGTAAACTCACTGAAATATCAAGTGTTGTACTTTCTGAAAACCGATTTCCTTACCTTTAGACTATTAACATGGAAATAATGCTTAAGACTTAACTTCCTTTATATGCCTCATTCCACTTTGACTCTAAACAGCCAAGTACATTTCAGTTCTCTCCTCCAAACTGGTCATCGATCAGCTGAGTGTACCAAGACGAATAATCCCATTTTAAGTCAGTGAGGTTCTTTACATGAGCAAAGTAAGCAGGATTTAGCCTGTTGTCTATTTCTACAGAATATTGCTTCTTTAAAACATTTCCTGCTCCTTCAAATCAGAGGGCAAAAAACCAGCTTTCCCTTTGAGACAGAAGCTTTGATTTTCTGTGCTGTGAGTTTACGTGTTTGTTAATTTACAATCTCAGAGAAGATCCCTAAAGCTCTGGAGCTAGTTCGCCTCCTGTGTCTTAAAAATACCTGTCAGCATGCTCCATAGGATCTCTCCTTACCTGGCTTTTGCAGAAGGGGAAGTTTGGTGGGATCAGGTGGGTTATAATTCAGTATTTAACATCAAAGGCCCCAGAGTCTTAGATGCACCTTTTTCAAACCTTTTAAATACATCATTATATATACAATGTGGTCATGCATGCACTCAGGTTAGTTACTGAAGTCCTACTTTTAAATGTTTTTCTTCCATGTTCTGTGGTTAGCTGGAAAGAAAAACCTTAAAAACTTTAACTTTCATGTTGTTTATTTGCCAACATCTTCACTTCTTTCTTCCTATGCACAGTAAACTTATTTACATATTATTTAAAAAATAGAAATATAATGTTGGAGTTTTGGGTAATAAAACAACTTCATGGGAACCCTCTAGGTCTAGTAATCTAGATCCACAGATGCTGTAGTAGGAACTGCCAGGCTGTGGCAAAGCAATACCAGGTAACCCTAAATGATGGTCCTTCCACTTCTTTCACTTTTGTGAACTAATTTTGCCTTCTTTCAACTGTCTCTTTGCATCCTGTTCAGGAGGAAGACTTCTCTTTTGGCCCCACCATATACCTGTATTAAGCACTAATGGTCTGATACTCTTCTTAAATGCAGTAGTCATTTAAGGAGAAAATCATCAAGTTGCTATTACTGCTTATATCTCTAAAAGGGTGGAAACAAATATTGCCTATGTGCTGCACTTGTGAGGCTGAGGAAACAGAAATCCTTGCCCTTTGTCATGCTACAAGTGACCAAAAAAAAAAAAGAAAAGAAATTGTGACAATGGGGGTCATACTTTTTTGCACCTCCTTTTAAAAATTATAAAATTGATTGTATGCATTTAGAAAGTAACTTTATGTGAACCCCCTAAACTATCTGAAACCATCAGTTGTTTTTTAAGAATACCTTGGCTTTTCCACAACTGCTCAGAGACCCCCTAAAAAGTGGACTTTCCGTTCTGTATTTTCTTTGTGAAGCTAAACTGTGTCATCTTTCTGCAGGCTTCTACTATCACTCGGGGAAAACAGAGTTCTAGACCGAATGTTTTGAACTGTTCTGCTAACTGCTTGTGTTACAGCAGCACGTCTAAATATTAGAATGGCAAGGATAACAATTATAGCAATAGCACCAAGGACTATTCCTACAATGAGCATAATCAAATTGAGAATTCCTATTTTGGAAACTGGTGGAGGCCCACTGTCACGGCTTCCTCCAAAGCCAGGAAACTGGCAGAATGGAGGGGCCCAGCCATCCTTGCAGTGACAGTTCCCATTATTGTTGCAGACCCCTCTTCCATTGCACATTGAAGAAGGTGAACACGATAATTGCAGCAATACTGAATGATTGAAACAAGTTTGATTATAACATATCTTGTCTGCAGCACATGTTGCACCATCTTCTATTAATCCATAATCAGCTGACTCTGCCAACGAATAATGGTCTGTGCCCCAACACCAGATATTGCTAACAAGAGTCTGAATGATGGTCACATGTTCCTCTAACCAAGGTAGCATTTTAACATCCACACATTGTAACCTCCCACACAATACATTTTCTGGTTTACATTTCTCAAATGTCTTGTTTTCCCCACCGTCCCAGCAGTTGCCAAACCGATCCCCTTTCATGTTCACTTCTCTGAAGCAGCTTATTGGAGCAGCTTTTGCTGGCTTGCCAAAGAGTTTTTCACATTGTATATTGTGACTGTTGCATTTCCCATAAAAACAGTAGCCATCACCACCACATACAGTCCCATCTTGTATGTGCGTATCCTCCGGACAGTATGGAGAAGTCCCATTGCAATACTCTGGCAGGTCACACTCGCCTACAGTGTCTCTACATATTGCCCCTTCTACAAGAAGCTGGCAATTTTTACAGCATTTTCCAGCATTACAAGTAGCCCCTTCTTTTCTTTTGCAAGTGTGATCACAACAGGGGTCCTTTCTACACTGCTTCTCAGAGCCACAATCACATTCTTCTCCTTCTTCTACAATCTGGTTACCGCAGCGCCGCATTAGAAAAAATACCCCAGTCTCTGGAAGGTTATTCAGACAGTTTCCCTTGCCTTGACGCATGAAGTTAAGATAGTATCTCTCACTGCAGTTACTGAATTGATAGACTTCCCTACGAGCTGGGTCCATGATGCAGAAAGATGAATTGCCACATGCACATGCTTGTCCATCGTGCACCATACCAACCTGGTGTCCCAGCAAATGAGCAACAAGCAGAGCAAAGTTTTTTACAGGACTGTCGATGAATGATACCACAGCTGATGCACGTGACAGGTCACAGGCACTGTAATGATAGGATTTTGCAGTCAATTTGTCCTGCTGAACTTTTCCAAAATCGTTAAATGAAAACAGGTGTCCAACATCATGTGGCACACGTGCAAGTGGCTGAGCTTTTCTCCAAATGTTGAAATTATGCAGAACTTCAGCCACGTTCTTTGTTATTTTGATTGGATTGTCGTCTGTCCAAACCTCTAATGCGGTCAGCAGAATGCGAAGACGAAGGGAAGAAAAAAATTCATCCGCCAAATTCACTACTTCAATCACTGACAGTACCACATTAGTCATATTTTTGTCAGCATAGTCGTATCGTTGTTTGTCTACCACTACAAGAAACTCGAGGTATTTAGTCTGCCCCCACACAAAAGGTTTCTTTGATGCCTGCTTCCTAGCCTCCATCACTTCAGCAGTTTGCTTTTCCATCTCTCTATCTGTTGGTTCACACGCTGCAGGCTCAGGACCGGCCTCCCCTATTCGATAGAGAAGGTGCTGGAATATCAAGGAGCTCTCCACAGGTTCAATGGCATACTGCAAGCTCCCAATCTGGAGCAAACCTCTCAGTCCTGAGCAGGTGCTGAGGACCGCAAGAGACTCCAGGCTATCTTCTACATACCCATGATAGTAGCAATCCTCTGGAATGGAGGGGTGATCTACCAACAGCCTCCCCTGGGGGTCATAAGTGTAGACTGGTAAATTTTTTACTATAAATCCTTTTTTCTGCTTCAGGTGAACAATATGATTCCTCCCTTCCACCTTGATGACATAGGACATTTCATCCTTGGCAGCGTTTCCTTCCTTTGATGCAAACTTCCTTGGAACAATTACTTCATAGGAAGCAAATCCTGGAGGCGGATGCGGGCTGCAGTCTGTGCTGGGAAGAAACAGCCCCAGTAGCATAATAGGGACTCCCAATCCAAGGAGCACCCCAGTCTCCTGCGCTCCACCCTCTGCTCTGAACCACGTCCACATTAGTCCTACTGGCCTCTGGATCTGATCCATGGGCACTGCCTCCCAACCTGGAGCAGAGAAAGGAAACATTGGGTTAAGTTAGATCGAGTGCACCACCACCAAGTTGGTCACAGAGAGGTGCCATTATAGCCCAAGGTTTTCCAGTGGAATAGATGACGCCTCTCACAATTTCTCTCCTCTCCACATCCTCTGCCGGCTGCTTCCCTCCTCAACTTAGCTGTAACAATACAGCTGTATCCCATCTGCTTTTACCTGTCTCTTAGGTCAGCCGCAGGTAACACGTAGCATATTCTGCTCCCTTGTATAAATACATTTCCATGGGCCTCTCCCCACCCTCATACTTTCCAAAGCATTTCCATAGTGCAGGGGCAAATGTTACATACCAGAAAGAAAAAGGCTGACCAGAAAGCCGACTTACATAGCATAGAAAATCCAACAAGCCTTGGCAAAATGAAAGGAAATGCTGCGCTCTAAAGCAAGGGGAGGAAAGGCTGGTTTCAGATGGTCCTGTTGCACTCCTGGCGGGGAGTGGCGCAACGGGCGGCCGTTTCCGTTTGCGCCGCTTTGAACGTGAACATTCCGCGGCAGGAGACTAGCGCGGGGCACTGGTCCAAAGCACGGATGGCTCTTCGGGCCTCCTCATTAAGAATTTAATCGGATGTTGCCTTTTTTTTTATTGTAAACAGAAATTTCTTTCCTTAAAATGTATTCCCTCCACCAGTCAAGAGGCATTCGCATAGGATCTGACACACCCATTGGGCCACACTCAATTAATGGGACCTGGGCACGAAAGCAGTTTGTTTTGAAGTGAGGTTTGGTCATTTGGGTTCTTCTGTATCTGAATGAGATGCATCAGAATACAGCTTTGGACAATCAATGTCATCCCCTCCTCTGGTTGCGTTCTCCTAGGGCTCTGGCAATGTCGAACTGATATACTTCCCTGTATTATAGTCTACATTTTATGAGTTTATTAACCTAAAGGGCAAGGAGAAATGTCAGTGAGTGGGATAACGGCTGGAGTGGATCAAAACCTTGGACAAAGCTCTGTTGGAAATGTTACGATGCAATTTTCTGATTGGTTCCCACCAGAAACACTGTTCTGGTCCCAAACTCTCAGCTACCGGTACTCTGAATCATGCGGTACCACCCTTTCCTCCCTGGTTTTGTTTAAGAAGAACAACATTTTCACATCTGTATATTAAAGGAAAAAGGAGACAAGAATTACTGGTTTCCAAGGATTCCCTTATAGGGTGAGTTACCGGGTATAAAAGGCGAGGTGAGATTTGTTACAGTTACATGTGGCCCTAGCTACTGGAGTACAGACATATTCTTTGCCCTCCCCAATTTTATCACTTACAGCTAAATCACATAAGATACTCTCAAGGAATGGGACTAAATGTATATTACTAAATGCATGCTACTGGCACTTACTAGTAGGTCCCATAGTAATTCAAGAAGAGAAGTTTCATTTTATTTGCCCACTGTTACCAGGGCAAGATTGATACCTACTATATTTTTGTAGGTGCTTTGTCTAGTCTAGTTTTGTAGCTTACTTTTAAATACAGTCCTTTTCCTCTAAGCTACTCAAAGCACTTTACAAAGAATAAAGACTCATAGCACTCCTCAGATGCTGTGAGTACAACCACATTCTATGTTTGTGTTATTCTGCTTGGTTTATTTTAGCTTTTATAAAAAACCATGTGACTTCCTATTTACGAAACAGAAGCCAGAAATCTTTTAAATTTAGTAAAATCATTTATGTACACTAATGTAAAATATTTACAATATAATACTGGTCCAAAATAATGTGATAGATAACATTGGAAAAGAAAAATTTAATTTGTTTAATACAAAAAACAAGTTAAACGTGGCCCAAAGGTGTCCAAAAAGGATTTCAAAGGAAAAAATACATGCAGGTGGCGATACCAGAATTTTGACACTTTGCCATTACCAAACTAAAACATCCTCTTTCCTAATCAAGTTCCTCTAATGTTTTTTTTTTTTTTTTTAAATAGCCAACAACAGGAAAACCCAGATATAAAAGAAGATATGTAAAGGTCAAATGATTTCCAGCAAAGATTATTTAAAAAAAAATTAAATAGAATAGCCATGGCAACTTTCTGCTATGCTTTTAGCATTTTTATAAACAATTATTCTTCTGCCGGGCACCCTTCTGAAAATCCTTCTGTTCAAGGATGCTGTATATCCAGTATTCACAGTCTCTCCGCACATAAACAGTGCGTTAGCATCTCATTAATGGACTTTTAATCAACTGAAGGAAAAATGGAAGAAAAAAAAAGAAAATACAATAAAGCATCCCTACACTCTCCTATACATAGCATCCTCTTCCTCCTTGCTGCTCTTTTGTGATCTAGGGCTAGGAGTTTGCCTTTAATGTCACTGTGCTTCACTTCCCCATTTATAAAATGGGCATACTGACCTAGAGTCTCGCAAGTACAGCTCCATTCGTGAGTGCCTGCCTGTAAAATATTTGGAGAGTTCAGGTGGGAGGTGTGATGGAAGGAAGCTAGTCATTCAAACAGTAAGACATTGAACAGGACCAGTTAACACCATCAGCAGAAGCTCCTTTGAGCAACTATTGTCAGGACCCTTTAAAGATGCTGCTCCAGATCCAGCATAATCCTTAGGAATGAAGGAATACAAAGCCATATTATTCAGACACATGTCAAGTACAGGCTCAACAAATGCTTCACGCGCCCTGCGACCAAAATCTCTCTCCTCGCAGCTGTTTCATTCTTTGGACCCAGCTAAACCTTGAGCAGCTGATCCCTCTGGGGTGAGCACTCTTCCTGACGTGTTACTGTCTGGCAAGAGCTCTTTATCCAGCACTTGCCGATCAGCTGAATTTCTTTATGCATCCTACTGTTCCCAGTGAAAAATCCCTTTGCCAAATATCCCATGCTTCAGCACTTCCCCGCGCAGACTGTCACTCCTCAGATTGCCCTGTTCTGCGCACCCGTTGGCAGGTAGCCTGAACAGATCAAAACGTAGTTGAGACTTTCCCAGGTGTTGGACCAGCTCACAGAGGCATGTCCCCCTCTTCACTACTTCTTACTCCGAAGTACCGTCTTGCAACCACCCACCCCTACTTTTAACCAAAAGGCCAGCCTGAGCTTTTGCATTTCAAATTCAGCTCTGAGCACTGTAAATTGAAACCACCTTCACGTCTCTGTGCCTACTGGTTTAACGTCTCTATTTCAGACCAAGGCTGGAACAATTTGGGCTTCTGTGGTCTCACTAATAATACTCGGTCTTAATTTTAGGGCTACTTTTGCGCCCAGACTGTAGGAGTTCTGTTTTATCTGTGCCTTGCTACGGAGATATAAAAACTAGGAAAGGCAGGATGCCGATTGAGTTCTCAACATGTGTTTCTGCGTATCCAACGTGTGCTCGAGTTTTCCCGTCTGTCCCATATTTGTTTCCTTCAGGGACCCCTTCCTTAAAGAAATGAGTCCCCTTCCTACCCATCACGTACCATGGCACTAAGTCCCCTCTTGCCGAGCCTGCAGCCTCCCAGACAAGGCTCTGGCTCCTGCACCCCTACACCGCTCCCCTTGCCCATAGGGCCCCCCGATGCCTGCCATCCCCACTCCACCCCCTTCTCCAGGCATGTTGTAAGGAGAGGTGCCGAGAGGACTCCCCCAGGCAGCATGGCCTCTTTCCCTCTGGGAAAAATGGGTAGGCGCGCTGTCCTTTTCTCTTCAGGGCAACCTACGCCGTCTCCCTTATGGGCTGTTTGGGAAATGGTAGCTGAGGGCTGCCTGCAGCTTCCGCTTCACTGTCAGGCAGCAGCCATTTTGAAAGGGGCATTTTTGTGAAGAAAAATGGCCAAAATCAGAGCCTTCAGCTTAAAACATTTCCTTTTGAAATCCCCCACTTCGGCCTTACCACCCATTTTGCCAGCAACTGTATCAATTATTGCAGTGTTATTAAAAAAAAAACAATTTTAATAAAAGGTACACACTAGCAATGAATCAGGCAGCACTGCTCTTGGGGTTTCAGTTGGACACTGCTCTCACACCCTTGCCGAGAGGAATAGCAGTACAGTAGGGCTGCTCAGGTCGGTTGAGGAAGGTTTAAAACATTTCAGTCTTCCTGTGTTGTTATCCCAGGACAGCATCACTATCATCACACACCAGCCAAACCAGAATTGTTTTTAAAGGAGAATAAAATGCCAAAGCAGATATTAGGAGGTTATATATATGTGTGATGGTATGCACTTAAAACAGGGCTATATTGGCAGGGTAGTTGGAGAATGGCAGTAGTCTCTGTGGCTGACAGGACAGGATGAGAAGTGGTTGCAGACTGCAGTAAGGGACATCTGGAAGTGGGGGTGTGCACACGTGCATGTGGAATTATAATGTACATTTATCATTATAATATATATTTCTATCATTTAAACGATAAACATCCCGTTGTGGTGGCATCACCGGCAGCAGCAGCAGGAAGGAGCTGCCGCCAATGGGAAGCTTGAGTTTGGCCACTGTACCGGGACGGCAGGACCAGGTCCATGCACCACAGCTCAGGATGCACCCCCATGCCTAGGCCAGGTGAGGCAGAGGGACCCACCACAGGCCAAATAAAATCCCCTCGTGGGCCAGATCTGGCCCTTGGGCTTCAGGTCTCAAGACTACCTCTTCCTTCTTTCTGTTCTGTGGAGATTTACATTCACTTGTTCATCTGAACAAAAGAAGCCAGAAGCCTTTTCAGTTTAGTAAAATCATTTATGTACACTGATGCAGAATATTTACAATATAATACTGATCCAAAATAAAACTAACACGTGACAGATAACACTGAAAGAGAAATCAAAATGTTTTTAGTACACGAGTTAAACATGGCCAATGAAGGTCTCCAAGAGGGATTTCAAAAGAGAAAAAAAGACCAAAACCCACATGATGTAATGATACCGAAGCTCTGACATGTTGCTATTACCAACCAAAAACATCTTTTCTAATCAAGTTCCTTTAAACTCTTTTTAAATAGCCAAAAACAGTCAAATTACAGGATAAGTTAATATAAAAGACAATATGTAAAGGTCAAATGATTTCAGCCAAAGATTTTTTTAAAAATTAATAATAATAATAATAATAATAATAATAATAGCCATGGCAACTTTCTTGTATCCGTTTAGTGTTTTTACCAAGAATTATTCTTCTATGGGTACCATCCTGAAGACATTTCCATTTCAAGATATCATATATACAATACTCACAGTCAGCTTTGAAAGATCCATGGGATTTATTTCCAAGTTGAATTTTACACAATCAATAAAAATACCTTGTAGTTCCATTTCCTGAAAACTTAAAGAAAGGTGGAAAGACGAAAATATAACTTTTAAATATTTACATAGGAACCAGTAAAGTATATTTAATTCTGAATTCTAAAATTTAGCCTAAATTTTTAAAAAACAAAACTAATTAAAGTTTTTATAACCAGACATATAAAACCATTTGACCTTTAGGTTTAGCTAGTGTCATCTTACTCTTCTCTTCCTTATACACACACATCAGATCAGCCCAGTTCATCAGCTGATGAACAATATGATCAACAGCAAACCCCTATACAAGTACTTTCTCACCAAAAACATGTCAAAATGCATTTGATTTCTCCCTTCCAAACCTGCACTGTTCAAATATCAAATTGGTTTAGTCAATTGTGAATGAACCCACCTTGCAATTACCAATGGCCCAGAGTAATTCTGTTGCTTAAATAAATTAAAGAGATTCAATGGAGAACAGACACTTGATCACAATGATCAGCAATTAATTAGGCAGTTCTAGGTCTTCCTAACCCATTTGCTATTTCTGTTTCAAGTCTATCTAAAAGCAGTTGCTATGACAGTCTGAGGCTTTCTGTTCCTGATATAACACATACTTTGTATTGTGGAAACAGCTTGAAACCATTTCTAAAAGGATCATTACAAAACAGCGGCAGAGGAAGTCTTGTTGGAATCTCATATTAGTTTGAATCCCAAAGCAAAGGCAGATTAAGACACCAGGTCACCAGTTAAGGCAGAAGTAGCCAAAGGTGACCTATGCTGGAGCTCTACAGGGCAAGCCTTGCCAGAATCCCCTTTCATACTGGGGGCAGCCCACATCAGAAAGCTGGCCGTAGTGCATTTATACTGCATCTTGCTCACCAACCAGAAGTTGTTTGGCTCATGATAGAGGGTAGCATGGCAATACTGCATGTGCAACACCGCTCCTTATTAACCATGAGAGTAGTCACCATCTGATCCCATTTCATACAAGCTAAATCTGGCCTCAAGCTCCTGGGAACTTACTAGTGGCTTGTATGGTAAAGCTTCAAAGTGGTCTGTGGGGAATTAAGCATGTGATTCCTACTAAAAAGACAGTGCAATCTCTCTGTTTTATTCTCCACATCCCATGCCTAAAAATTTGCAACTGAAGACAAGATACATAGTGAGTTTGTTTTTTGAATTTAAAAAAATCTGAACTCTTCAAAGATTTGATGGAGGCTGACATGAGGAAATACAAAAAATGTGATTCCTTTCCTACTAGGTCACTACCTCTCTCATTAGTATGCATCAGTGCACAGGTATTCAAATGTAGTGTTTTAAAGGCTGCAATTCTGTCATTCTTGTGCAAGAAGCAATCTCCCGCTGCAGTCAGGAAAAGATTTGGCTGAGTAAGGACTGTCTGAAATTTGCAATAATCAAGAAGTTTAAAGCTCTGCGATATGGAGGACTGCTGAAACAGATTGGAAGAAAGCTAATGAGGTTAACATATACACTGGAAAAAACCGCAACGTGACATCTCATTTTCGTAAGAAAAACTAAGACATTGTTTACAAAATCCTATAGAAAGAATCAGACACAGGTTGACCATCCAAAGCTAAGAGTCTTGAGGAAATTGGATTTAGAGAGGGGAAAAAAAACAACACAAAATGAACAAGGCCTGACTGCCATAGTGGGTACACTGGGAGATCCATGGCTCAGGTTTTTAAGGTTAAGAATAAAGGTTAAGAGTAATTACTCCTAATAGCCCTGAATTGGCACTTCAGTCAGCAGACCAAACTTTCTCAATGTCTGCACAGGTATGGTACCAAAATATCTCTATAAAAAGCCTTCAACCAGTCTCAAAAGAAAGAAAAGTGTCAGAAGATAGAAAACTAGAAATATGTACAGTTTTGTATTTTTTTAAATTAAAATTAAAAAAGCAGCTTTTTGAACCATTTCAGAGTAGTGTAGGAATTTGCCCTTGGTGGCCTCAGTACCAGCAGCACAGGGACCTCAGGTTAGGGAGGAGTCCTGGTGAACAACTCTGCCAGCAGAAGGGACTCCAGTACAGCAATGCAATGATGGGCTTAGACTCCAGAGGGGCTGCAACCGAGTGACCAGCATCAAACTCACCGCAGCATCGTGTTTATACAAGGGAGAAACCAGGAGTTGTCATCTGATGCAGAGTCAGATATTCCAGCAAAGTGGAGGGAACTCAGGCTCAACTTTTTTTTGTCTGGGGCAAAAGCAAACAAATCCCTTATAGTGTTGTCTGAGGGACGAACCACCATTCAAATAAAAATAAGTAATCAAAGTCACTAAAGTTCTCCCCTGTTTAAAAAATAACATGAAATAAAATCGTGACAGTTCCACTGAATTGTCACTCAGTCTTAGCGAAGCCAGGATGAAGAGGCAGGGCTGAAGAAGAAAAGACTAGAGTTATCACTCAGAACTGAAAATTATAGCAAGCGTATGGGTTTGGATGCACAGCTTCCTGAAAGTGCTAAAAGAGTGGCCCTCAGGTCACTGCCAGGGCAAATTATTCTGCTGCCACTACCAAAAAAAAAATAAATAAATAAAATCATAATTTAGGTAACAAAGGGTGGCTATGAAGTTTATGTTCCACAGCACTTGCTTCAAGTATTCATTGAGCAGAATGCTAAGAAATTGTAGTTGCCTCATTCATAATATATATATATATATATATATATATATATATTAGTCATTGCAGCTGGCTGTATGTATAGCAGATGGAAGGCAGCTATCTGGTTATTAAGAAAACAAATGGTTTTTAAACAATAATTTGCCCCACGTAAGGGACTCATGAGTTAACAGTACATAAGTGATCATATATACCTTGAGGAACTGAGTTTTAAAAAAATATTACAGTACCAATGATTTTTATATCTACAACTATACAGCATCTTCAAGCAGTATGGAAATTTAATGAAATAATTATGATTTATTAATTTACATAAAAATACTTTTTACAGTTAAAGAATAACTCTTAAATGGTAAAAAAAATAAGATTAAGAAGCTTCAGCTATTGTGAATCATGAGAATTTGTCTGTTCTTCAATAACTTGTTTTACTATTTCTGCCAGTTTTAGCCGATCCACCTTATCTGTGAATCCTCTACCTGGAATTAAAGAAAGAGTTGGTCAGTTTTAGGGGTGGCACGAAGAGGAAAGCAGTCCCAAGTGGGACCACATCCTGGCTGAACAGAAAGGGATGCGCAAGAACGGGACACGGGGTAGTGTTCAAAACCTCCAAAACTTGTTAGGAGCCTAAGTTCCATTTTCAAAAGTGATTTGGGCACTTGGAAGCCTCACCTTAAAAACCACCAAGACCACATAGGCTCCTAAGTCACTGAGATTCTTTCTGAAAGCTTTACCTTAAACTTCCTACGCAAATTAAAAGCAGGTTTAAAAAAAAAATTGTGCTCTGTGCTGGCAAGATTGACAGTGTTAGAGCTGTGTACATTTGAATCTATTTTAAATAGTTTCAGGGGCATGGCTCAATTCCCTCCATATGTGAATCCTCACCAGCCCACCCATGGTAACCCTGCCTGTGGTAGCATTCCCTATACGAGAGGGAAGGTGCCTCTTACCATTCCAGCTGAAGCTTTGAAGAGTGTCTCGTAATAACTTGCATTCCCTATTATATTTCCAAGCTTCTTGCATCACTTCATTCAGTTTCTCATCTTCATTCTCTCCTGTTCAAAAGAATTCAGAGATAAGAGTTATACAGCACAAGTGATCCAAAAATATGAATACCTCAAGTAATAGATACATACAGTTCTTACTGTAGGTTAAGTTATAAACATACACAAAGTTAATATAATAAAAAATGAATTTGGGAGGGGACACTGTTTTGAAAGCCACTTTAAAAGCATGCTGTTGGTACAGTGATTTGATGACAATATTACATAGCTATCCTAAATTACAATCCACAGTTAGTTAGAATAAAGTACTCCAGTCTTTTACACAGAAATTCTGCAGCCATATCGCCTTTGTCTCAAGTCCCTCTGTGCTGCACCAAGAATCTACTAACTGCCCCAAAACAGCAACACATTAGGTCTAAAAACATATGAAAAACGCCAGTTACAATGAAGGACCCCAGGTATTGTAAATCTGCATTTATACTCTCTTGCCACTAAGCCAATGGAGACATTTCCTTCAAAAGACTACATGCGACTACACAAACACCTCTCTTTTCAATATGAATTCCAGATCCAGGACCTCTTCTAACTAAATGTCATGCTTAAGTTGACAGAGTCACAACAGTTGTGTGTACAGGTCAGCCTAGTGCAATGCCGTTTTCTCTATGACAGAACAGGGGACACAGGACAGAAAGCAAAGCAGGAGATCAGTCCATGAGCACAGAATGGAGAACAGAAAGCAGAGACGCAGCCTGGGCAGAGGAAGAGAATTGGGTGAGAGACTATAATTTGTAGTACCCCTACCACAAACATTAGCTCCCAGTGTCCTACAGCGATATTAAAAAGAACACAAATGCCTTTCAAGATACCACGTGACAGTCAATGAGCTCCCCACCTCCTCCCAGAGACTATAGTAATAGGAATGATATCCATGCTCCTTCAGTGTTGACAAAGGATCCCATCTTGTAGCACAAACACAACCCTCTCCCTTGCACATTTATGAACTTAGATGTCTTAAAAGCAGCAACCTTTACCAGCCTGTGGTAGAATACACTGTGCAATCACATCTCGGAGTTTCTCCAGAGCCACGTTGGAATCATCACTTCCATTCTCGGGGTCATGGATATAGACACCATCCTTTGGTTTAGTGCTGCAAAAGAATGGTATGAAAGGAAAAACAATTACTATCTGAGCACAACTTGGGTGTGTAAATAAGTTGGCTCAAAGAGGTTTATCAGTTGTTAGTAGCAGCAGTTGTTAGTAGCAGATGGTTCAGACAAATCTCATTGCATCCACTTCTCAGTGAATTCTTCTCCATTGCATCTGGAAAGCTGTAAATGGGAGTAGGAGATATCTCAGCTCTTCTGATATACACCACTCTGAATTACAACAGCGCTTCAGAAGAATCTGACTTAGTGCTCACAAAATCAAGTGCCGTGTCCAACACTCCTTCAAAGCGGAGAAGCAGCATCCACATTTTCAGATGCAGAAAGTCAGGAAGAAACAAGCCATGTGAATTTGTCCATTGAATCAGTAGCAGGTAAGAACCAGCCTTGGAGTCCTGAGTCCCTTCTGTTCTGCTCTAAACACTAATGCACACCTTCCCATTCAAAATTACAAATTATATATTGATATCCTTATTTAATACATATTTTGCACCTACTTTTCAAAATACAATGTCACAAAATACAATGAAATAAAACAGTCCAACTAGTTATATATTTTTTCAAATGTTTATATTCATCTATTTAGCTTTTAACCATTGGAGGAAAAAAAATAGTCCAGCCAAGTATATTTTAATTTATAAGAAACTGATTCAATACATACACAACAGCAGATTTCAGTATGCACTATCTCCTTAACTCAAGTGGAAAATTATTCTAGCCAAAATGCCAGTACGAGTTATAGTTTGCTGCTTCCAACCTTTGTTCTGAAGTCCCAACACTGTCTGAATATTAAAATTAAGGGCAACAACCACTTTAAAAAGCTACATCAGATGTGCTCTAAAGAATATTTTTTCTTATTATTAAGCTTACGCTTAGGTTTCTGGTAAATGTTGTAGCTCTTAAGCCTTGTCTGTAAATTCCTTATATTTGATACTGTACACATTAGCTAACTAGCATCTTAACAGGAATTGCCAAGACCTTTCAAAAAAATAGACTCAAAGAAGGTTTCTTTTCCAAACAGACTTCAAAGTCTTCCTTCTCCTTGTAATGCTGGCACACGTATGACTACATCTTGATATAACCCTTCCTTGCTCTAGGTCAAGGAAAAGGTTTTCATCCTTTTGCTTTTCTACTTCAAAGAAATGATTATGATGTGACTAAGGCAAGAACAGTGCTGAAGATGAAGGGAAAGAAATGATTACAGGTTAACAGGGACAGTGTAACCATAGTGGTACACACTGGGTCACAACTTGGAAAATGAAGGGATTCAAAGCCAGGCTCTGCCTCTGATTTGCCAAGTGGCACTTCATGTCTACCTGCCTCAGCTTCCTTACAAAAAAAGATGAGGATAAGAACATTTTCCTACGTGACAGATATCTGGAAGTGGGGAGCTGTGAAGTTATAGTGATACAGGTTATCTTCACTGCACTTTATCCCAGGAACTAGGAACAAGACAGCCAACCGGAAGTCTTAGGAGGGAGCTTCCCATAAACAAGCCCAAAGCAGCAGCTTGTGTTAAGCATCACGAAGGCATTAGGACTGTTAAAGTTTAGAAAAGATGCCAGATTTAAGGAGACAAACATTTGGAAAGTTACCCCAGCAATTTCCTTTTGCGTAGGATTGGGTTGTTAACAGAGTTGAGAGGTTTGAGGCTGACTTTGAGGTCCTGGATCCTCATGTTAGCGAGCTGTTCTGCATGAGCCTGTTGTATCCCAGCAACCACTGCCTGGAATGGAAAAAATTACACTTAATGTTTTAATTAGTTCCTTTGAGCATAAAAGGCCCATATAAGCCAGCACAAAAATAACCACATAAAAAAAATGGTGCATATTTCAAGGATGCACAATAAAGTTAAGCTTGTGCTACATCAAGTCCATTCAGCACTATTAGCAGAAAACAGCTTCACCTTACAGGTATGAACATAATACATGTATAAAAGGCTTTGACTTTTCCAAATTCCCTGGTCTTACAGACCTGAGTTTGAAACCACTTTTGTGAAAATGAGTTTTCTACTTAGAGGGGAATAAAAACTGCACACATCGTTCATTGTGACCTAATGGAGCAGTAATTGCAGCTGAGTGATAAAAAGTAAAGAAAGGATACAGCTCAGAAGTGAGCAAAAACAGACAGAAGAACCCCAATAAGTGACATCTCCAGTTACACTTCATCTCCTTCCGGCTAGTGTAGGATTCCTCTTTCCAGCTTATCTTCAGCCATTTTCCCAGCCTAATTCTAAACCTACTAGAATTTTGCTTTTCCCTTCCCATAATCACCAATACCTTGCTATGAAAGAGTGTACACTCTTAATCTTGCAGCACACAATTTAAGGCAAAATGCATAGAGACCATCGGGTTTATCTAACTCTGAAATGCAACTTTAAAAAAATAAATAAATAAATATATTGTTTAAACCTTGTCCATCATCAATTGGGCAGAAGGCAAAATATTATCGAGAGCCTCGGTGGAGTTTAGCCAGGGATGATCTAGCACTCCTTCTATCGTCAGCCGTTCCTCAGGCTTCACCTTCAGCAGCCTGAGAGAAAAACAGATCAGTCCTTCACAACGCATTGCTCTTTTCAGATACTGATGTGCTCTTCTGTCTGAAGCCAGAGCATTTTGCACCCAAACTTCAGAGTTGTTGAAGAGAGCTCACCATCTCCTTAAACTAAAATGCAAAAAGTTCATTCCCAATAAGTTATTTTATTTCATTCTGAAATATGTTAGCACTGAGCAATTCCAGTTCAGCTAGCGTATCTTCAGCAACATGATGAGAAGAAAGTTACTTGAATCCCATTTCAGTAATGGAGTTAATTTATCTAATTTATATGTTCAAATCCCCCCAAATAGAAAGTTCTTCCCAGCAAAATATCCAAAGCAAAAATGGATCAGTGTGTTAGAGATTTGCCGGGTGGCAGTACTTACTTAATCAGGAATTTTCTGCATGGTAGACTAAAACAGAATTTCAGAGCTGGATATGTTTATTGAACAGACTGCTGCTATAATGCAACTTCTTAACTCTGTTTCCTCAGCAGCATGATAGACTAGTGGACACCTCTGGGGCAGTACTTAATATAAAAGAAATCTCCAATGGGCTATTAATTTAGGCAACCATTTAATGGCTGCGCTTGCAACAGATGGACAGCCTGCTTTCCCTTCTGTCCCTGGCATTGAACATACAGCCTCCAGAATAGGTTGTTAACGAGAGAAAGCTGCTACATTAGTTATTTTCACCCAAGTCCCAGTGTTGGCAACACTGCCAGACATTGGTTTATGCTTTGCTTTTTTCTCGTACAAACATTCAGAGCACATGCAGAGTCTCACATAGGGCTTTTTTTAAACACATGAAAAAGCAGTTATATAGGGAAACCTATATAATGTGAAAACCTTATGAATTCTGATGGATAGAAGTTTTATATTTGTGACACTAGGAAGTTAAATCATGAGACATGCACCAGAAACAGCAGCCTGGAAAGAAAGATTCTTTGGGTAAATTATTAAGCACAACTGTTCAATAAAAAGATAACGTCATTATTTTGGCTGAAAATGTTATAGGAATTGCTAAAAGACAAACATAATAAGAACAAAGGTGGAACCAGATAAACCCATAAGGACAAATTAAGTCATAGTAAATGTACAGAGCTGGACTGCAAACAAGCAGCCTGACTCTACGGCAGAGCTATTTCACGTACAAAGAGAAAGCTTTTATCCAAGTGTCAGAAGTGCCTCAGGCTAGTTCAGAGTTCGCTGTGAGACTCAGTGGCACACAGGCCTCTATTTCAATTTTTATCAAAGATTCCCCACACATGCCTTTTTCTTTTTAGACTTACAAGTCAAAATTTAGATAATTTAGTCTTCAATAAGTAACCCAATTAGTAAAGATCAAGGACAAAAATCAAGGCAACATGACCGAGGCAAGCAGCCATGTCAGGCCAGAATGTGAACTGCAGAACAACGAGCTCACGTGAATAAAGTTATTTATGATAGGTTTATGACTGCAACCATGAAAATACAACTAGCTTCACTTAAAATACATAAATAATTAAATAAATAGTGTCAGATTCTAATTAACTTTATTTTCTCGTGTTCATGCATTAGCAAGCACACTACTGCAGTGTTTGGGGTGCAAATGTTTCAAGGTATATTAACTGAGGGGAAAAAAATCTCTGGGGTTTAGAAATGAATGGAAGCACTTACTTTAGAGCCTTGTGCTTTGTAACATTGTAATATCCAAATGTGAGAACAAATCTGATCTGGCAACGTCACTTTCATAAGAAAATTAACAGAAATAAACGTCTGCATTCTATCCAAATGCAGGTTTCTGTTCAGCTGCTCCTTTTAGGTTGCATACATGTTCACTTAGCCCTAAACGCTCATTCTGTTTTGTTTTATTTTTTAAAGAATCGTGCATAAGACTGTAACGCTATCAGTCCTGCTAAAGACTATATATGCATATAACAAAATGTTTCGGAGATAGGATGCATCAAAGCTGGAGGACAGTAGGTCAGAAAGGAAGTAGGGGAGAACAGGGAGGAAAGAGGAATATTTACCAACGCTGAGGTCATGCTGAATACAAAATACAATTTTTCAACTTAACATACTGCAAAGTTATTCTTATTTGAAAATAGAGCCTTTAGGGGAAAAAAACCCCAAACCAGTCTTAAAGGTATTTTCCAGTTCCTTAGTATAAAGGGCAATATAAAGTTTTCCTTAGATGACTCACTTTCTCACAATGTCTTTTGCCATTTCTGAGATCTGGCTCCATTCTTCTTCTGGAAATTCAAAACTTCCCGTCATGATCTTTTTCCGCATGTCCTTTGGAATTGTCCGACTCTGATGCTTGGAGTAAAACGGAGGGTATCCGCACAGCATCACATAAATGATGACACCCAGAGACCACAAATCACAGTCCTGAAAGGAAAGAAATCATCATTTCTGGGGTACAAGCAACAACATGCGCTGGTCTAGCCACGTTAAAAGATCTACTTGACTTCTTATGAACACACACATGCATCTTAACCTCTCTGAAAAAAATGGTCTGTCTGAATCAAATCAGGGGAAAAAAAACAAACTAACAAAAAGAGCTAGAATTCCATATGGATTAAGGTGTCAAAAGTCTTTTCCCTCCCATTAGCTGCTTAATATGTGTTAAAAAAACATAAATATACTCCACATTTCTGCCTGTGCAGGGTATGTCTATGCTGCATGACTCTACAGTCAGTAGTGGACACAGCAGAGCTGTGTAGAGATAGAGCTGCTGAAAGATGTAAGGATGAGTGCCTTGAGAGGCTAAGATGTGTAAGGGTGGATTCACAACAGGAACCCACAACATGATGCTTTTACAAAGTGTTAGTTTTATTTATTAAAAAGCCCTAAAGCCTATGTAATTATATAAAATACCCTTCACATGCAAGTTTTCCACGAGGCAGAGAGATCTGACATTTCAAGAACAAATTCTGTGTATAATCCCCTGCATATACACACATATGATCCAGTACACACAGGGCCTAACATGGCAGGAAAGAGAAAACCAACTTTCATTGCTTGGTACTCATTAAGGATTTATAATCAGAACAGCCCTGAATTCCTATGCAAAGGCAGGGCACCTGAGTTTAAACACAAGTATTTCAGAGACCAAGGCATGTCCCAGGTGGTTCTTTGCAATAAGCCATATTTGCCAAGGCGTAGGCTGCAATATTCTGTACAGCATTCCTAATTAATGAAACCACAACTGAAAGCAAATTGAGAATGAGCTGGAACAGTCCTTTAAGTGATCTGCCTCATGCAAAAAGTAGTTTGCCATATCACCGTGCAATCTGATAGGAGATGGAGAGGTCTTAATATGTGGGGCGGGAAAATGGTCAACCTTATCAATACAAGGACAAACAGAGCTGATTTCAGTCCTGTTTGCAAGGCTCTGTCATTTCTCCCTTTACCATATCCTCATCATGAGAAAGTCTGACTCGCACCAATCACTTTATTATGTTCCTGGTTTTTAATTGTTTTCTAATGGGATCATAAATTGTGCTACGTGTCAACAGACCCAAGATAGCTATTTGGGCACAGTTAGCAAGGAGGGGCCTCTGAATTATTAGGTAACTGCATTCTAAATAGTACCGCTGAATGACTAAGTTAGCTCTAACAACCCCTCAAAAAAAAACACCACAAAAAACACAAACTTCAGCAACTGAACAACAGGGAAATCTGTATGTTAAGCTAAGCTGCAATGAGTTGTATTTTTGAAGCAATGTCTGGCCTTTCTCCATGCCATAATACTCAAACAGTGCTTGGCAAATGGTCTTTCCATAAAGTTTGTTACAGTTCTGGCTTTTACATGAGGAACTTCAACGTGAAATATTCATGTACCAGAAAGTTTAGAACATTTACTGCCCCTCATCCCAAATGCTCCAATGTCACGGCAATGCAGTTCTTAACATGAGATGATCCAGCATTACAGCCCACAGTTGCACACATATGTAGAGAGAAAATGCACTGTCCTTAAAAGGTTGTGAACAGCTGAACTATTTGAAAAAAATTACCTTGTTATAAGTGTAGGGTGTGGGTGAGGTAGGGATAATACCAGATTTTTCTTTCTGATGTCGTCTTTGTGCCTCTAAAACCTATTGCCGCATGAAGAAAACAAGAAAAAAAATATTACAAAAGTTACAGTAGAAGAGTTAATTGCTGACAGTACCTGTAGCAATGCCTATATTCAAAGCTATCTGACACTTTCCATTAGACGGTCCTGTTGTCTGCTTGTTACATTCCGGTGCATTAATACAACCAGAGCTCTTTGCAAGTCTAAAAAGTCTCAATCATGGGTACCAGCCCACCTTTCACAGAGGGATCACTCTCTCTAAGCTGGTAATTCACAATTTAACATCTCATTTATTTTCAGAATACCTTTTAACACCTGTACTAAACCCCAAGTGCTGAGCCAGTATCATAACCTTTTTGCCTTCAGAGCAATGGGAAGATTTAAGCAGTTAAACTGCATGAATCCCTTACATTATGGGTAATTACTATAATTCCCATTTTATTAATACATGTTAATACCATACTATCCTGTAGAAAGATGAATAGATTTAACCAAACTGTGCAACAAGATAGTGTGCAGGCTAGAAACACAACGTAAGAACACCATCTCACAGAGACCGATCAGTCTTGGAAATCAACTGGCACATGGTCCTGAAAGAAGGCTTTCCACATGGCTTACACAGTACTTTCAACTCCTTAATAGTACAGAAAGAGACATTTAGTAGTATAAACTGATGGTTTAGATTGCAAGGTTTACAAAGGTGCAGCCATATTATTCCCTTGACAACAGTGCGTTCATTCATTACCTGAGGTGCTACATAATATGGAGTGAACTGGGGTGTCATCAAGTCACCTTGGTCTACCTTGGCAAATCCAAAGTCACACAATTTAACAGGAGCATCCTGAAACAAGCAGGAAAGGTTGTTATGGAAGCGGGCTCTCTTTAAAGCACAGATCTCTCCCTTTCACGTTCAACTTGAAAGCCATTACCTTGGCTGTTGTTCGCTCCTCTTTTGTGACTATTCCCTTACCACTGCCACAAGTCAGAAACTGGCTCACTTCAGCAACAAGAGCCCAAGGCATACCTCAAGCCCAGGCATGGGAAGCTCTAAATGGCAATTCCATTGCACATGCAAGGTAGGAAGGGACAAGACAGGCCATGAGCTACACAGATGCAATAAGCAGAACATCTGTATTAGATGCATGTGGGGGGCGTGGCCTGGAGGCACGTGGGATCTCCGCAATATTAAAAGCAGAACAGGAGGGGTCTAAACCCGTGTAAGGTCTTTCATGCAAGGTCCTTTAGCAGGACTTCTTGCAGAGGTGCAGGATTTGACCTTCAAGCCAGGTCCCCAGTGGAATAAGCAGCCCGCTCCAAGCAGATCAGGGGCACTAGTACAGGAACGGGGGGGATCTTCCTAAAGAAGAGCTGGAAGCTAGGAGCGTTGTGTGAGCCACGTGACAGAATTCAGTGATAAACAAAAAAGATCAAGTGTCCATCTTACCAAAGAGTTATCCTTGAAGAGGAGATTTTCAGGCTTGAGGTCTCTATGTGCAATATTTAGTGAGTGGCAATGCTGCAAAGCCAAAGCTATCTGAAAAAGGGCACAATAAATCAACTACAATTTTAGAACTCCCTTTGACTTGACAGTAACTTTCACTTTAAAGGGACACTGTCCATGCCAGCTACATTTCAAACGTTTTCGCCTGGAGATTCATTTTAAATGCAGACATTCCTGTATGCTGCTGGAAACCTGAACAGGGCAGCACTGGATTACTGCATAAAAACCAGGAATAAAATTACCAGAAGTGCTAACCTTTCACTATGTTTTTCAAGCTAACAGCGTAAGTTTTAATAATTTTTTTTTTTCAATCAAGCTTAATTATTAAAAGCCAGGGCATTCTTACTAATGCAAGCAGGAAATGTCTTCTCTATAATGGGGTTTTGTCATGACAGTGTCCCTTTATATGCAGTACCCCGTCAACAGGGTCACTAACATGCTCAAGTAATTACATTCAACTTAACCTTCAACAGTGACGTTCTTATTTCAGGACTTCAGCTATGAGGATTGATTTTTACCAACACTTTCTTGCTTTTGTTAACTTGTTTGAGAGCCAACATTCAGGCAGCTTTTCCCTTCAGCCCTTGAGGGGACTGCCAGTGCCTACATGTTACCCAATTTGTGCAACATTAAACACTCAGTTCTTCTAAGGAAGAATACAACAGGTTCTTATACCTGAGCAATAGTTTAGAAATTTGAAACTTAAAGAATCTACAGATGTGAAGGTCTAATTCATTTAAAAAGAAAAACAAAGAAAATATCTAAAGAGCATCACTGATGCTAAACACACCCCAGGCCTAATCATGCAGTCCTTATTTGGAAGGACTCCTACTGATTTCAGCAGAATCCCACTAATAAGAGAGATGCGCATTAGAAAAAAGTGCATATATTATTTTAACAAGAATTTTTCAAGGTTAACTTAACACACAAGCATATGCAAAAGTGTAAATATGCACCCTCAAGTAAGACAAGATAGTTTTATGTCAAGGGTTTAATATTTACTGGGAGCAGGGGGTTAAAAATCCAATTGCAGGAATTAATCAGGAAAAAAGAGACACAAGAATAAGATTTTAAAGTAGTTTCTAAAGTCCCTGCTTTGCAAGCATTAACACAAATATGTCACTTTATGCGTCTTTGTAGGCTTGAAGTCTAAGCGAGCTGAATTCAACCCAGGTGATTACTTAACTCCAAATCTTGTTTTAAAAAAAAGAACTTTGAACAAGGTTTTCCTGGAGACTTACGTTTAAGGAGTGCTCAGTTTTACCAAAAACACAACTTTGCATAGGCCTTTAAAGGCAAACTGACGAGAACAATCCCAGACTTCCTATCTAATCTCTATACAGGTTCATAGCAAAGAATGAAAGTAACAGAATGAAGCCATGAAACTACAGTTTTAACATTTCTTTACAAACAATTCACAAAACACGAAGTACTTCATGGAAAACTAGAGATGGAAAGAATTGAGTCCATCCCCTCCCACCCCACCTTCCCTGCCCCCAGAAACCCAGCACAGCGTCCCTAAAACAACCACACACAGAAGTCAGGATATTAATAACTGATCATTATCAATACCATAAAAAGCCAAATACACTTTCTGGTAAACTGTGAAAACCATTTTATTTAGAAACAATGATGTTCATACCACGTTATCTGGTTTTCTCCCCTTTAATTTATGCACAAGGGTCATTTGCATAGGACCAGGATATTTGTTGCTCAAAACGTTCACTTAAGCTTGCGTATTAAAGACCCACCTAGAGCTCACACTTCAGCTACTTGGGACGTTACCATGACGAGGGACGGGGACAACATCCCTTGGATCGGCATGCCATTTGGCATATAGAGGGGCTTAAGCACTTTCACAAGACCCTCCCCTTCCTGCGATTCCTGCCCAAGGTCTTTCCACTCAGATAGTTCTCTGGAAAGGCTCTTATCTCCTTCCTTCAATGTGGGCTTTTTGGTGGGTCTCTAGACTTGGTCAGCAGTGTAGGAGGGAGAAGGAGCGACTAAGGAACGATTCAATAAGCTGTCCCATCCTATCGAGCCCTCTCCTCTACTTTTGCCCACACCCCATCCTTCTCATCAGAGGTAAGCTATAAGAGCAGATGCCCTGCTAAGCAACAAAGAACCTGATGGATGCAAAGGTCCTTAGTAATACAAGCCAGGGAGGTGACTAAGATACCATGGCAAGGAGTATGCTCTAACTGCCTAGAGATAAAATGAGAGGAATGAAAGGAACCACAGAAGATGTGGACTATACACCAGGACACGTCTCCAGAAACTCAACTGAGTTTGAAGTCTTCCATGACATGTTAGCAGTTCCTTAACTCTTTGAGCTTCCAGAAAGAATGAACGCATAGGACATGTATACATTATACAGCATGTCTGCCATCTCCCAAGGCACGAGAGAAACATTCATTAGGTCTTATGCAGGGCAGTGGCTCCTGAACTGTAGCCCTTGAAACCATATACCGTCCACAGAGACCCTCTTCCTGATGGTCTGCTGAACACAGTTCGAGAACCTTAGCGAAAGGGACACAGCAAGGAGATTCAAGTCTCTCTCCAGTGAAGTGCTCCAGAAAGCGAAGAAGTTGGAGAACCACCAGTAAGGACTTTGGAGGTACAAAACCTAGTAAAACTAGCCCAGAACTTATGGCTATCAAAACTCTGATATTGTCAGATTATAACAAAGCAGGCAATGATCACCAGATCAGAACTGAGGGTTATTTTAACTTACTTTTTTCCCTCCCCCCTCCCAGGAAATTGTAAGTACTTTAACCATTATTGCTCATGGCTTGGCTTATACATGGGAATTAACTTGCCTGCTTTGTTACTTGGCTTGCTTGCTTCTCAGTAAAGTGCCGGTGCTGGCTGATTCTGTGAAATAGCTCTCCCCCTTCCATCATCTCCATTACAATTAGGAGCCGAGCCCTGTTTAAAAGCATTTCATTTCATTACATTAAAAAAAATAATCAAAATACAACAAAATTGCTAGTCTAAGAAAGCACATTTCACATCTGTTGATGCAGGGCAAAAAAAAGAGACAGTGTAATTGTTTTTTCTTGTTCCTTCTGCTTTGGTTTAATGATTTGGGCTTTTGGAATGTCAAGTACAGTATTTTCTGGTCTCCTGCACAATTTGAGTGGCTGAATAACGTACTGGACTATCCCATGGGAGACTACAATGTACACGTCACATCAGGTTCTCTCACTTCCAGCTGGAGGGAGCACACCGAGCAGTTATTTTACCAGTGATCTGTGTGCTCATGGACATTTCTGAACAGAAGGCTGACAGGTGTCCTTAAAGTTTCTGAGTCCAGATACCACATCTGGGCTCCTAGTTTTGTTCTTAAACTTCTTCCAGACATAGCACCCAGTTAGGAACTAACGATATTCAATACGTCATCTTAGCTCATGCTAATCGTTCACAGCAGTCCAGGTTTCACTGCACCCCTTTTAGACAGGGCCATGTTTTGACAGCTCAAGGGGATATCTTACTGTCAAGTACAATTTAATATTAGGATTTTGTTTTAATAAAACTGATGCTTTTAAACATTCTTCAGGCCAGCAGTAACCACCCTCTTGCAAAAGAGCCTCACTTGCGAGATTGGGTGAAATGAGAAAACGTCACTGTCAGGGAGAATAAGCGACAGCTTCCGGCCTCTTAATACCAATTTGCAAATGGAAAGCTCCTCCAACTCCAGACTGGTACTAAAGCAGGACAGAAGCCTGTTTTTACCCTCTAGGCAAAATGTGTGTGTTGCAACTGATGGTACTGTTCAAGGAGACAGGATCTAGAAGCATGCAGCTACGAAATCAAACTTCCATCAGAAACAAAACTCAGCACATACAATGTACAAATGCTTTTCACCACACAAAAAGCCGGAGTGCTGTTATAAGAAAAATAGCTTTGGCTTACTCTGAAGAACAACATCACATCCTAATGGGGCTTCATTTCAGTTACATTATTGTTATTATAAAAAATCTTCACTATACCTTGGCCTAAACATGGAAAGCAAGCTGTGGGAATTAATCACCCTATGTAATCTTACCTTGGACTGGATTCATGAGGGAACTGCACACTGTTAGCATAAACTTCAATAATTTGAACAATATTTGTATGTGTTGCACACATCATATGCAGACGTACCTTAAAGAAAAGGTAAGAAAACGATACTGTACACAATGATATGTATCAGACAGCCCAGCTCCTCCCTCTACCCCCAAGGCTGTAGGATGAAACCAAGCTATAAGCCACTGAATGTTCAGCGTAAATTACACAAGTTAAAATTATACAATCCATTCAATTACAATTAAAAACAATATATGGAAAAGTTTTCATTTGACTAACCAAGGAGTCAGTAAGTTATACTTAAAAAAAAAAAAAAAGAGAGAGAGACAAAAAAGCAACAGAATTTATTTACATGTCGCATTTTGTTACGGACCATGGCATCAACTTCAGCAGGCCTCTAGGAAAGCTCAATCTTTAGAAATTATGTATACTTTAAAAAAGAAATGCAAACCTAGAAATAATGTTAACACAATAAGGACATGGCTTTGGCTGACAAGTCTTGAAGTGCAAAAACTCAAAGTCTCTAAGTTATAGCCTGCCTCCTTTACGGGTAGGTGGAACAGCACTAATAATATATACACGAGTATGTTGTGTTCAGACTCTCTGCAGAGCTGGAACCTGATGAATTTCAACCAGTTTTCAACCTCTTAGTTTCCAAGATCAAAATCAGGCCCTTAATATCATTTTATAATGAGTTTTGGGGGCAATTTAAATGAGAATGAACTCTGAGCACAACTTTTTTGGTGGTAAAATAGCAGACAACAGCAAGTTGGCCGTTTCAATGCGAAGGAAAAGAAAGACTACAATAGGTATTAAAAAACATGGCATACTTTTTTATCTAAAACATTCCAGAAGGGAAGAATGGCTTGTAATAGACACTGCTAGAAATACCACATCTCTTTTCATACAAATCGAAGACATTCAGAGGAACAGGAAATAGTTCAAAGCTGCACACACCTAACAGTCACATCCCAGATGACTAACTCCCTGTATTTGTCAGCCACAAATTATACTACTACTACTACTACTAGTGATGCCTAAAAGCAAGATGCATGGAGGCTAAATTACCTCCGAACTATTCCTATTACACTACGGAGAGCAGAGCATGAGAAAGGCACTGTCAGTTCATAATACACCCTTCCAAACTGCACTCGTCCAAAAATAGCAAATTAGCTGCAGTGAATACAGCATATCAACAAATATTCCCAGTATCCCATCCACCACGAAATACATAGCTTAAGGGTCAAGTGTATGACAAAAAGCACACCTTCATGAATTATACTTCCGTGTATCCTGTCAATGGGTGACTTTCTGCTTTGGCTTTTACAAGTGAAACAACTTGCAAAAAGAGGACAAGACTCCATGTTTCAAGAATTATACAGTTTGTTTGGTTTTTGTTTTTTTAAAGAAAAAAGGACTATACCTCATTTCTAGCTTTTGGACGATCAAGAAGAATTTTCAGTGCAAATCGTTCTTGAGTAGATTTTTTCACGCAGACTCTGGTATCATACCAATAAAATTATTCAGTCAGCAGGAAGGTTAATAGGACATTTTAAGCAATTGCTTTGTAATTACTATAGTCAGTTCATTGCGTGGGAACAAAAATCAATGTACACATTCTGTAACATAAAAGGGGTCTGATGTGAATGCAGGCTAGACTGCCTCCAAAGGATGATGGGGTGGCACTATATTTCACCACAAGCACAGGACATACTTTGAAGACACACTTTACACAAATTTTATACTCCAACAGTGTATATGGAGCATCACGAATAAAGAGAAGGCAAGGACTGAAACTAGCAAGCTGTTCTGCAGATAAAGAAGTTTGTTATAGCACACAGGCCCCTCTTAAAGGGATTTTTTTTTTTAAGTTATTATTATTTAAAAAACAAGACAACAACAAAAGCATCTGGAAGGTGGAGTCCGACTTGCAGCAATAAATAAAAGGCAGCAGAATGAAGGCTTTCAATGCAACAAGGCCACAGACCATACTGCACAAATGCTCAGTTTCAATTTGCATTCAGCATCAACTTAAACTGCTCTGGAGAGAAAACCCCAGAAAAAAAGAATAACGAACAAAAGGACATTTCTAACTAGACTGGACACAGTAAGAGAAAAATGTATTGCAAGAGAACATCCTGCCTGGGCAGGGAGACAGAGTAGGTGGCCTCCTAGGCTCTGACCCTTGCAACCTTCCGGGAATTAAATTCATTTAAGGGCTCAGAAGCAAATTTCAGCTCTGTAAAGGGAGGCTGTGATGCCTTCTGGGTAGGGCCTTTTTCTTGTCGTGATAAGTAGATCCATGGCAGTCGGGGCTGGGCCAAAGGCACTATGTGCAATGGCCTCACATGATAACCTGAAAAAGGAGCTGGTAAAAATAGCTAAAGGGCATCTAGAGCTGAAGCCCTGACAGACGATACCACAGAAGAGAGAGGTGCCCTTTGCACTGTATTGACAGTGGTGTTAGAAGGACAAATAGACATTAGAAGAAGAATTTTCTGCCACTGCATTATCCAAACAGACCCCTGATCCTGGTCTGGCTTAGTAATGGTATATCAGGAGCTGGGGCCATGTAAAAGAAATGAGAGGGAGGAGTTTTATTTCATTTTTTCCCCCAGTAACAGCAGTCATTCCTGCGGTACACTGGCTACATGGGCAACCGAGTCAAAAAGAGAAACTGGCACACTGACTTTTCCTATTTTTCTATGAACAAACAAGAGAAACTTTTCAGAGTCACAGCCTCCTACTAGCAGCATAGCTAAAATACATACTCACATCTTTGCTGCCAACAAAACAGTCTGATACTATCCAAAAACCAACAGGTGTGGTGCCTTACCTCACTGGACCGCTGATTCCAGCCCCCAGCTTCTGGGTCCAGTTAATGTTGTATTCCTCTAAAATGAATGTTTCCTAATCAAAGAGGAAAAAATGGATTACCACATCCTGTCTGGAAAATGTGTCTCAGCAGACCTAATCTGGGAGGAAACTGGAGTGCTCTGTTTTTACATTTCCTAGGAAAACTTTACACACACAAATATAAGCTGACTAACATATAGATATATAATATTATATAAAAAAAGATTAGCCAACTAACATGAAGAACATGCATAAACCACATGAGCACCTTCACAGAGAACAGGGGTGGCAGGTGATGGAATCACTGCACTGAAAATTAAACACAGCCGGGCCCAGTGACATAAACTAGTTTGACATTGTCTGGCAAGGGACCAAAATCACCATAGCTCAATTCTGTTCATACAAGCATGCCATGACAGGGCACTGAGATGCTGAAAATATGTTCGGCCTTATTAAAGACAGAGCCTAAATTAACACTTCTGCCCTTTGCCATTAGAGTTAGTGATCTAACAACTCCAAGGAAAAAGAGCATAGAAGAATGCAGGTGCTGTATGTTAATACAGTTCCCAAGAAAAACATCTTAAACTGGTCCTGATCCTGAACATCTTTCCATAAGAAAGTCAATATAAAAATTAAAGAACGGGGCCAAATGTTCTAATGTGTCAAGAGAAACAAGGACGCAACAAAAGTCAACAGGGAGAAAACAGGAGAAGATGACTTTTAAAAGGCTGTGCAGAGACAGAAATAAACCACCTGCCAAGTGACTGTATTTGGATCTGGATTTCTAATGTGCATAAAAACATAAAAGTGGCCAATCCCAATCTAGGCTCTGTTCTAACCATCAGTTTCCCCACCCTACAAGGTCTGAAACACCTGTTTTCCAGTTACCACACTTCAACTCTGTGCACAATAAATGCGTCGTTAAACAGTGGGAACTAGCACAATCAGAGATGTACGTACAGAGAAAGTCGCACCTTACATCACGAAACACACAATATTTGTAGGAAGCAGATGATAGTGTCGAGATGCATTACTGACACGCTGCAAGCTCAAATTATGTGAGTTTTATTTAAATGAGACAAAAACATTTATTACAGCTGGAGCATTAATGTTGACAGGAAGCCCCCAGAAAAAGTGTTATTGAAGGCAGGTTTTGGAAAGGGCTAGAGCTCATATATTCGGAGTCCTTAACATTAATTAAACTGATAAGAGCTAACAGCAATTTCAGCAATCTTGGACAGACATGTTAAAGAGCAGATCAGAGTATCATAGAGTAGGGCTGGAAGGGACCTCAGGAGGTCATCCAGTCCAACACCCTTCTCAAGGCAGGATTGCCTCGGTGTATGTTTTAGTCTATATGCTGTCATTTTGCTACAGGGAGTAGAGTGCGCTACAGGTAAAAGGAAAATACATTCTTAAAAAAAGCCCTGTCTTTTGGCTGGGAATGCACCAAGAAGGTATAGTTCGATGAGATCCACTGTTCCTATGCGGCCCAACCCACAGATACTATCAGACACCGGCAACTTGATGCTTTGTCCAAAGAACAGATACACACACAGAGGTTTTGTTTTTATTTTTTTAAACTTCAATTTATATATTTTTTTCCAAGGAAAGTGAATCTGAACTTAGGACAACCTACTCTGAGGACTACATTTACTAAAACTCTATAAAAATAATTCATCTGAACCAACAACAGTATTCAAGCAGCACATGCGTGTTGGCAGGCTGTCTGAAAAGTCATTAGCTAAGCACCTAGGACCAGGGTTTGGTGAAGAGAGAAACAGCGTTTGACAGCTGGAGCGCCTTCTGCGGCTGCAGAGAAAACATTCGGCCTCTTTCGGATCAGTTCGGTTGAATGACTGGTTCATCCAAGTTTAAGAAACTGAGAATTGAAAGAGCAGGAAACCTTGTTTCCCCCCATGCACTCTATGAATAAAAACAAGGTACAATAGGCTGAGATCTGTTACTAAAATCTTGAAGGACATGGCCACCAGAAACAATCAGCCCAATTCACTGACTAGAGATAATACTTCCTTTCATTAATAAATCAGGAAGCTCTAAATCTAACACACTGAATTTATTTTCCTTCTGTACCCAGCATAATTAATATGGTTTTATTTAAGTAATAATAATTGTTTAAATGCTGCTTTTCTGCATTTGTAGATGAATTCCAGTTTCCATAAAATTAGTTTGACAAAGCAGGAGTAAACAAAACGTCAAGTGACTGGCCAATAAAACACGCTCATTCCCTAATATACTAAAATGTAAAAATTAAGGACCCCAATAAGCATACATTAAGCTGTTTAAATATATGCCTATTATGTTCACTTGGTTAGCAAAAAAGAAGCATTAAAAACTTAGGATAAAGGTTCCATTTATTTGCAAAAAATCAACATCTTAAAGAGTCTGACTAGCACTGGTGAATAACCATTATTTAGGAAGAAAAACTAAAATGTACAAATGCGAGCAAAACTAACAAGATATTTAAATCAAGGCTTCCTCTTTCCTGATTTAAATCAATCCCTTGTAAATTCAAGTAATGAAGGCTGGAACAAAGTAACTTGGAGTAAGTGTTGCAAGGCACAGACCTTGTGAAGTGACTGCGAGAAGTAATTCTGAAGAGCGTGCACATGCTTTATCCAAAACGATGCAGTTTCCTCTTGAAAGTGTTTTACGGCTAAGACTGGAGGAATTTAATATTTCCTCGCCGTCTTAAAAATCAGTCTGAGCATTCATTCATACAAGGGTGATAGTTGCATCAGTGTGAGGTAAAGGATTCTCCTCCACCATACCCATACGATCGGTATATTTTTTCGTTCATCTTGCAGCCCAAGACAACAGTGAGTCCAATTTTGTGGGGCTCTGTCACATTACACCACGTTTCTTCCCAACCTCTCTTCCCCTCAGCTACAACTGCGTTGTGGTAAGACTGAAGTCACAAACACAACGGTGCAGACTTCTCCCTGCGCGCAGACTCATTCCCACGAGGCTCTTGCAGGACACAGGTGTCGGCATCTCGCCTGAATGACCCTGACAACAAAGCCATTCCCAGGCTGCACATTACGACTCTCTGCAAAAACATTCACCCTTTACAAGTTCAGTTTCCCCCAACGCTGTTCACTTCACTGGAAAAGTTGCAGGGATGGATTTGAAGGGCCATTTATATTCAATGTAAAAATGAATGAAAGGTAACAAATGCTTCAAGAATGCTCTTTGCTTCCAAAAGTGAATTGCTAATAACATCGTTACTCTTAGAACGGCATATTGTTCACATACAGGATACTTGTCAACTTTTGCTACGATCTCTTCGTTCCGGCTGGACACGATGATCTTGCCAGGTCCCATCCAGCCCCACCCAATGTCTACAAAACCCACGTGCCGTCCAGCCCCGATATCTACAAAACTCAGGTCCTGTCCAGCCCGAGTGCTCACGAAACCAGGTCCAGTCCAGCCCCAATATCTACAAAACCCAGGTCCCGCCCAGCCCTAATGCCCATGAGGTCCCTTCCAGCCCCAATGTCCACAAAGCCAGGCCCCGGTCCAGTCCCAATGACCATGAAACCTAGCCCCGTCCAGCCACACTGTCTACAAAAGCCAGGCCCCGTCCAGCTCCAGGGCCCACGAAACCAGGTCCCGTCCATCCCTAAGGGGCGAGTCCATGAAGACGCCTCGGGGCAGAGGCGCCTCTCACCTACCTTGATCGTCCTCTCCATGTTGCGCTCGTCCGACATGGCCCCACGGGCCCGGGCCGCGCTAGGCGACGGGCAGCCCCGGCGGAGCCCGCCTCATGCCGCCCGGCCAGGCCGCGGCCGC